CGTATCAAGGGGTGCTTGAATAAGAGAGGATATTCCGCCAGAGGGCCGAAAGCAGTCACGCTAGCCTTACGCCAAGTCAACCGCAACAATACGGCGACAAATGGCAAGCTTGAGACCTACGCCTTGAAAACAGGCTTCACAGCCATAAAAGCACACCCTCAAGTGGCAGACTATCTTTGTCACCTAAGACAAACGAAGCGGTTGAAAGGGTCAACACTCGCAACATACCTAGCGGCATTGAGCTCAGTTATCACTATGAGGACCAGTGTAAAACTGACTAAGGTACCAGAGTTACTGGCCTTACTACGCTCTTTTAAACTGGAGGACCAACAACAGAGATTTAAAGCTCCGGCGTGGGACCTCAACATAGTTCTACGGCATCTCATCAGTGAAGCTTATGAACCATTAGATAGGACTCTATTCCTGATCGCCTTAGCAACAGCAGCAAGGATGTCGGAAATACATGCTCAAGACTTTGAGAGGACACGATTTGACGAAAATCGAAACATCGTGCATATGGGACTGAGATGGGACTTTATAGCAAAGAATCAACTGCCAGGTCAACCGGACAGACAATTCCACATCCCAGCACTATCATCAGTCCTTGGGCCACAGGATACACAGGACCTATCCTTTTGCCCAGTAAACGCAGTGAAAGTCTACCTACAAAGGTCTAGAACCAGAAGACGAAAATTCAAGCGTCTTTTCATCCCTATATCGACAGCGACACAGACGGAGATCTCTCGCACTACGATATCAATATGGATGAGAACTGTCATACTACGGGCCTACAAAGCAGCAAGACTTGATCCTCCAAAGCCTCAATCCACATGAAGTTAGAGCTCTGGCGTCAACACTCGCTCTACATGGGAATTGCTCTAGCACGACGATAATGGAGGGCTGCTTCTGGAAATCGGACATGGTGTTTGCCAACCACTACCTGAGAGACATCGCCACCAAGATGTCTCTGGCATTCACCATTTTGGCCCACTTGTAGCACAACAATTGACAGTTCCACAAAGGCGCTGAGACGGAGTCTCGCCCTTTTATCACATGACTTGCAAAAGCCTACACTCAGGAGAGTTACAGCTTTAGAGTCCATATGCAAGTCTAAGACAGACTAGCCTAAGTGATAAGACCCAGTACTTGTAAGGACGTACTCGTACATAAAAAGGGTCGCTTCTCCACTGATGCTTGCATCAAGAGATGGAGTTGCAAAATCCACATAATAATGTTAACAGAAGCAAGGACCAAAAGTGAACAATTGTGGTCCCCCAGAGAAGGCTGGAAGTAAAGGGTTACAACAGCAGCAGGGCCTAGCAGTAATAGAAGTGCTACCAGGAAGTTCCCATAGGGGGTTATGCAAGACGTAAATCACTAATTGGAATCCAGAAGTGGCTTGTCCCACCACCAGATCCGACGGATTCTACAAGCAATAATACATGAGTCAGGATAAGGAAAAATATGTAATTTTCTGACTAAAATTGATATTTTATACTTATCCTGACTCATGAGGTAAGCCCTCCCAACCTCCTCACTAGGCACTTTGGATTTCCCTGTTAATCGAAGTGTTGGGCTAACTATTCGGAGAGAGTGAAGCGTGGGAAGACAGGTGGCGCTGTTTTACCGCCAAAACCAGAGGGACATAACTCATGGTGAGTGGTGATTTTACGTCTGCTCTTTTGAAAGGGAGCTTCAAAAAGGAGATACAAGTGTTCCACTAACGTTTGGGAAGCAATAATACATGAGTCAGGATAAGTATAAAATATCAATTTTACTCAGAAAATTACATTTTTACCATCAGACTGCTCACACAACTAGGATGGCTAGTGAATTTGATCAAGTCGGAACTAGAGCCTACTCAGGATCTACAATTCCTAGGAATACGGCTCATCACAGCAGAGAACCGCATATTCGTGCCAAAGGTCCGTTGGGTCAAGATACAACAAATGATATCTCAAGTACTACTCTCTCCGTTACCACTACGAGAATGGCAGAGCCTATTAGGTCTCCTCATGTCAGCTCAAGACATGACGCGCATGAGGGCTACAATTGCGCCCTCTACAAATGTTTGTGAACGCTCATCTAAACAGTCTGGACCCCTTCAGACTACCAGACACACTAAAACCATATCTCCTATGGTGGACTCTGAAGTCGAATGTTTGCGAAGGAACCTACTTAGTAGAGCCGGAATGCAACAGGCACCTTTACGTAGATGCATCACTTCAAGGATGGGGAGCACACCTCGAGAACGAAGTGGCAGCCGGGAAATGGTCGAAACAAGAAATGACTCTGCATATCAACATGCTAGAGATGAAAGCAGCAATAAATGCCTTACTACACTGGTCCAGCATACTACGAAACACGAAATTGATGATCTACACGGACAATTCAACAGTGGCGTTCTACATAAACAGACAAGGATCAACAAGATTTTACAATCTGCTAGGCCTCAGCTTTCTTCTCTTCAACATAATAGACGAGTTGAACGTTTATGTAAAGGCATGCCACATTCCAGGGGCCGTAAATGAGATAGCAGACGCTCTATCACGACCGGAACAACCATCTCCAACAGAATGGATGTTACATCCGGAAGCATTCAGGTGCATAATACAGACGATAGGTTCTCCACTCATAGATCTATTCGCCACACGATTCAACAATCAACTGGCAACATTCGTCTCTCCAATTCCTGATCCACAAGCATGGGCGACAAATGCTCTAAGCATCTCTTGGGAAGGACTAAACGCTTACGCGTTTCCGCCCCCAACCCTAATACCACAAGTATTGCGGAAAATCACGCAGACGAACCTGCAACTGATTTTGGTCGCGCCCTTTTGGTCGGTGAGAACGTGGCTTCCTGTTCTCATACAAGAACTCGGACAACCAAAACTGAAACTCCCAGAGTGGCCGAACCTGTTAATACATCCTAACACCAAGCAAGCTCACAAGAACCCCAAGTTGTTCCACCTACACGCGTGGAGTGTATCAAAGCTTGCTTGACTAAAAGAGGATACTCCGCCAGAGCAGCGAAAGCAGTTACACTAGCTTTACGCAAATCTACCAGTACCTTGTATAACTACAAGTGGCAGAGTTTTGAGAAATACGCCTTGAGAAAAGGCTTCACAGTGATGAAAGCAATACATCCTCAAGTGGCGGAATATCTTTGTCATCTCAGACAAATAAAACATTTAAAAGGTTCAACGCTATCTACATACCTAGCGGCCCTCAGCTCAGTAATCACCATGAAATCAGGTGTTAAACTGACTAAAGTACCAGAAATACTGGCCTTACTACGATCCTTCAAGTTGGAAGATCAACTTAGGATCTTAATGTAGTTTTACAGCATCTCACCAGTGATGCTTATGAACCACTAGACAGGACATCCTATGAGTTTCTTAGACAGAAAACTCTCTTCCTGATCGCCTTGGCAACAGCAGCACGGATGTCAGAAATACATGCTCTGAACTTTGAACGTATACGGTTTGATGCACATCACAGTATCGTTCATCTGGGATTTCTTAGCTAAGAATCAATTGCCAGGTCAACCCGACAGACAATTCCACATCCCAGCTTTATCATCAATCCTTGGGCCACAGGATATTCAGGACCTATCCTTATGCCCAGTCAGAGCACTGAAAATCTATTTGCAAAGATCTAAAATCTGGAGACGAAAATTCAAACGACTTTTCATCCCTATATTGGCGGAGACACCCACATTGATCTCACGCACTACAATATCAATCTGGATGAGAGCAATCATCCTAAGAGCCTACAAGGCAGCAGGACTTGAGCCTCCACGAGCCTCCAATCTTCATGAAGTTAGAGCATTAGCATCTAAGCTCGTCTTACATGGAAACTGCTCAATATCTACTATAATGGAAGGATGCTTTTGGAAATCGGAGTCAGTGTTTGTGAACCACTACCTCAGAGACATCACTACCGAGGACGTCTCCGGCATCCACCAGTTTGGGCCTATTGTTGTAGCACAACAACTGACAGTTCCGCTAAGGCGCTGAGATGGATCTTGGAAGAGATAGAGCCTAGAGTCCATTTACACATCTAGAACAGACTAGTATCAATATAGACCCTGTACTTGTAGGATTACTCGTACATTTAAGGGTAGCCTCTCCACTTGATACGATGATCAAGAGTTGGCGTCACCTAAATCCACACATATGTCTACTGAAGACAGATCTGATAAGTTGTGGTCCCCCCAAATTCATCAGAGAAGGCTAGGATATGGATCAGCAGCAGGAGCAGTGCCTTCAGAAGTTCCCATGGGGGGTATATAGGACGTAAATTCATCAGTAGGAATCCAGAAGTGGCTTGACCCACCACTGTTTCTGACGGATTCTACAAGCAATAAGCAAGAGTACGGATAAGGAAACATGTAATTTTCTGATTAAAATTGATATTTTATACTTATCCTGACTCAGGAGGTGAGCCCTCCCAACCTCCCCTCAAGGCACTCTGGATTTCCCTGTAAATCCGTGTGTCGGGCTATGTATGTATTACGGAGAGAGTGAGGAACAGGTGGCGCCGTTTCCCGCCAAAACCTTGGGAAGGGAGATAACACCTGGTGAGTGATTTTACGTCCACTTTTTTTAAGGGAGCTTCAAAAGGGGATTCAAGTGATCCACTAGCATTCGGAAGGAAAGGGAGACGAGCAATAAGCATGAATCAGGATAAGAAAAATATATAAATTTTAATCAGAAAATTACATTTCCGAGCAAGACATTGTCATAAATGTTTTGTGTGTTAGTGAGAAGTTCCCAGTGTGATCACAATGATCATAAACATCTTGATTGTTATATGTTAGAAAGTGCTGGTTCCAATGTTGATCGCTGGATTGTCAGGTCCAGACATGATTATTTTCAGGCTGCTGTAGTATAGCTGGAATACTGCGAAGTGAGCCATGCACAACATACATGCACGCAGACACTTTTCAGTCGTACAAAAGTATTTGGAATCAGTTTCATGCTCAGATGTGTTTTTAGCCCCTCATCAACCAAGGCCCCTTGGTGCCGGACCAGACTGCCACCTACTGGCTGTACGACCGGGTGGTAGCTGTGAAGCTGGGATACCCCGTCCCCCTTGGATTGCGGGGAACGGTCGTCAGCATCCACCCTGATGAGAAGGAGAGCGACACGCTGTATGATGTGAATTTATCGGAGGAATCAATGTCAGGTAGGCTGCAGGAGCATTGTGTGTTGGTTAAACCATGACGTTTAGGCTAGGGGAAGGCTTCAGTTTTAGGAGGGCAATTTAGCGTGCACCTACGGGGGTGCTAGTAGCTCAGCTGTCTTCAGAACCACATTTTGCTGTGCAGAGTAACTTCCCACCTTCCATTCCACATATCTTAGTGCTACAGTGAATGTTAGCTTATTGTGAATTATGGGAGTTATGGTCACCTAAGTGAAAAGATCACTCTGTGGAATGTGGCCATTGACAGGTAACTCAGGTACTTGGGTCAGGTGCGTCCTGAGTATTACGTAGGTACCAACAAGACTACCTGTAACCATGTTAATCATATATATTGTTTAATGACAATAACAATAAAACTCTGTGGTTACCAGTTTCCTTTGTTGGTATTTCTTTCTGACAATGCATACCAAAGATATAGATTCATTCAACTTCAGTACATACATCAGGTCATTTATCTGTGTTTTAAAAATGTTCTTGCCATTTGTCTTAATCTGTGTTTTAAATGTTCTTGCCAATTCTGTCTTAATCAGACTTTTTGTACCCAACCCTTATGCCCTATAGCAGGTCTCAGGTAGAGCGGGATAATAAAGGGGTGGGGTGGGGGATATCCAGGACCCGGTTGTATCAAACTTTAATGAAGCATTAACGTGCCATTAAACGTTCATTAACTAATGTATCATTAAATTCTGTTGTAGTAACGTTATAATGATGCTCTGTTGTCATTAGTGCGTCATTAACTTAATGAAGGTCCTGGGGTATCATTAGAACGTCATTAAACTTCCTGGAAAAGTGAACATTGTGCCAGAATTTCGTTTGCTCCGCACTGCATCTACCTACAGCTATAAAATTACTCAGGAATGTAAAGTATTAAATGTCGTATCACATGGTATAAACTCAGTTGGAAAGTAGACACTGCTGAATGTTACTCTTAATTTTGTTCTGCGTTAAAAACAGTAAATTTCTCTGCTTTTTATCGTGCACTGATAAAATGTGCTACTATATTTTCAATCTGGCATCTTTACGGAAAGTGTGAGCGAACAAAATTCTACCTGATACCTGAATGACATACGTATCTATTAAATTAGGTTGTGTGCTTATGTATAACGTTATACACTCAATCTTAAAAGTGACTCGCAAAATGTGTTGAAAATGGATTTTCCCCTATGACGTCAAATGGCTACATAAAGGTCACATGCTTATAAACATACGGGGGCCTCACTCCGGAATGCTTAATACTTAGTCATTGTAACGCAGATCACTTGGTGAGAATTTGCTGTGAATAAGGACACCATATTTTCGTGATGTTTTGTTCACGGAATTATCGAAAACAATGATACTCAAAACATTTGTGACCAACGCGCACCTGGCCAATGATTATACGCCATTGTTTTGTCTATAACACAACATAAACAAATTCAATGAATAAGACATATCCTTTAAAAACGTGTGCATATATACATTTCATGAAATAAATAAATCATTTTTATGTATTATGTCAGTTTTACTTAGGTTTAAAATACTAAATGTTGATAATGAAATTAGTTTCATGAAACCTATATGTGAACGAACCGCAAAGTATACATTAGTAATAAAAGTGTAATCCCAGGACATTGTGATTGTGTTTACTCTTATTCAACCGACCTTCACCTCAAAGACATTGCCACATATGTCCAACAATGTTGATGTATGACATCACTACCGATGACCGATTTCTTTTGGCTTCGTGGATATGGGTGCCCACGATTTTGCGAGGGAACCTTTGTCCATAAATGTATGATGTAAGTAATCGGAAACATTCTGACTATGTTGCTTGTTTTTATTGTTTTCATTGAAAAAGTCAGAAATGCCGATAATTACTTATGTCATTCTCCATGATTTTGCGTCTCGCATGGCGTCACGCTGCACAGAACTTTCGTATGAATATATCAAATTTCAGTATTGTATCTTTTTAAAGTTTTCTAGTTCTTGCTACTATACTCTTTCCGTGCATATTCCTAAAATATTGAGCTCATGCATGCTACAAATAGACGAACTGATGTCTAAAAAATTGAGAACATGCTGCACAGTATTAAATCTGATTTTTGCTTTGTTTATATTTCTAGGAAGCGCTGTGTAATGAGCACAACGTCCCGGTTTCACACCCAATATGTTAGGTCTTTTCTTAGACATTTGGTTTTAGTGACAAAGACCATTTGGAATTTGATTCTAAAATGTATGAGGAATTCAGCGATACATTTGTCACAACTGAATATGAAGTATACATGATGTAATAGGCGTCCTATGACTTGCCATAGCGAAACTTGATTTTGTAAACACTATCCAACATGGCGGAAGCTCACTTCGGCGTTCGTGTTCGTGTATTTTCCAAAACATCCCAACCGATTCTAGGTTTATCGGTGACATTTCAGAATTATTTAGGCGTGTTTCTTCACAGCAGTCGAAATGTTTGTTTTGTTCGAGGTTTAGCCCTAAAGATGCCTTTAATGTTGACATTAGTTAATGAAGCAATGATACAACCGGATCCTGGTAGGATTGAACCCACAAATGTTCTTAATCTTCCAACTCTCATGGAGCAGGCAGTCAGGCTAGGCGGGTAACCACTACACCAAGGAGGCGGTTTTATGTTTCAGAATGGGGTTTCCATGTTGAACTGTGACATGGTATGGTATGTCAATGAGTTTCTCTATAAAACCATCATTTATTATTCTGTAATTGTACAAGTAGTCACTTCTACCCATGTGTATGCATGTTACTTTAAGCAAGTACAATAATAACTATGTTAAACCCTATTTCACCCAATACAGGGGCGGTGGGGTAGCCTAGTGGTTAAAGCGTTGGCTCGTCACGCCGAAGACCCGGGTTCGATTCCCCACATGGGCACAATGTGTGAAGCCCATTTCTGGTGTCCCCCGCCATGATATTGCTGGAATATTTCTAAAAGCAGCGTAAAACTAAACTCAGTCAGTCAGTCACCCAATACATTATCTGTGACAAGATTTGGTGCAATATTGTGATTGTATTTGTCAAGATATTTGATTAAGGAAGCATGAATGAACATAACACAATGACAAAGTTTACTACATATAAGATGAACATTGAAACTTACTAAACATTTCTATCATTTCTTTCACAGAAGAATGGTGGGTTTACCAGCAACAATCCCCAATTTGTTACACCAAAAGTCACACAAACACAGTTTTCTAAACGAACACCAAACAGAACTCAACAGACAGGAGGAAAGACACAAGTGAGTACTGATCTCAAACATGTTGATTGTAACCAAAGCTTATTAACCAGAAGTGTCAACCATTTCAAATTTTGACATAATGATATATATTTAGCACAAATCCATCACGTTTGTTTGCAATATTTAATCAATAAAGCAGTATTTAATCAATAAAGCTCTGTGCACAAATGTAAGCCCATTTCTGCAACTAAAACTGAGAAACCCAGAGTTGTTACAGTCATTCAAAACATGTCCACAGTAAAAGCTTACCAGGGACAAAAGTATGGAAGATTTGTAACTATGGAATTATACCTTCCTCTCTTTTGAAGTTTAGTGTTTGAAGTACAGTGAAACCTGTCTAAACCGGCACCCTTCTGGACCAAAACTAGTGCCAGTTTAGACAGGGTCCGGATTAGACAGTGACAATCATTTTCCATCATGGCCGGATTAGACATGTTTTAATGATCATAATATTGTTGTAAATGGCAGGACCAAAATTTTATGCCGGTTTTGACAGTGTGCCGGATTAGAGAGATGCCGGTGTTGGCAGGTTTCACTGTATAGTGTTTTATGTTGACCACCTAATGTGTTTTCCAGGACCTGATTCCACAAAACAGCAATAGCCCTAACTGGCATACTTTAACTCTGGGATATGATTGCTGTAGTGGTACGATTGCTTTGTGGAATAGGGCCAAAGGACAGAACAAGACCCATCCTTTTTAAGATGTAGTCTGGTTTCTTGTTGGTCTTTGTTCCCAAACAATGAATTGTTTGTGTTCATTAGACACTGGTTTGCCTGGATCAGATGTGGTCCTATTGTACCATAGACCAGTGAAGATCCGGCTTAGAATTGATCTTCAGTAACCCATGGCAATGGGATCGGGTGGTCAGGCTCACTGACTTGGTTGACACATGTCATCGTATCCCAATTGCGTAGATCGATGCTCATGCTGTTGATCACTGGATTGTCTGGTCCAGACTCGATTATTTACAGACCGCCGCCATATAGCTGGAATATTGCTGAGTGTGGCGTAAAACTAAACTCACTCTCTCACTGTTGTACCATAATGAATTTCATCATTGTAGCCTTCCCAAGATGCAACCAGCAACTCAGAGTTTGCCAACATGTGGAAGGAGCTGCAGGCCGGCACAGTACAGACAGCGCCATCAAGTGGCAACCTCATCCAAGAACCGTCACTCCAACAGGCAGCACTTGCATTGGGGCAGATAACTCCTCCTACAACACGGCACCAGAAGAAACCAGAACTGAGTGGACGTGGTGACAGCGTTAATGAATCAGAGAATGGTAGCAGTAAGAAGATCGATCTGCAGACTCTGTTTGATCGTGCTAGCTTGCAGAAGGAAGCCGCGGAGAAAGATGAGTTCATTGCCATGATGGACTCTCTGGAGTTGTCCGGGAAGACCCAGAAGGAGGAAGAGGTCGTAGGAGGAATCAACAGTAATAATAATGCCACGGAACAGGTGAGGGAGTCACAATCAGTCTCTTTCATTCTAAATGAGGAAAATCTCTGATGTTGGAATAAGAATACACTCTGAGCATTGTGTTCCTTCTAAATTAGGGCGCCTAGTAGCCTAGTGGTTAAAGCGTTGGCTCAAGTCTCAAGACCCGGTTCGATTCCCTAAATGGGTAAAATGTGTGAAGCCCATTTCTGGTTTCCCCCGCTGTAATATTGCTAGCATATTGCTAAAAGCGGCATAAAACTGGACTCACTCACTCACTCCTTCTAATTTAGAGGTTGACATGCATAAGTTTGCCCAATAATGTTTATCACTTCTCAAACACACTTCCCTTTCTGTCTCCTAAGTTATGTTGCCCGCCTGTAGGGATGGATTCTGGGTGAGAATAGATTGCTTGTCATGGTTAGACTCTGTGACTTGGTTGATAGCATATCATTCTATTATCATGATGTCAGTCACTGGATAGGCTGGTTCTTACTTAGTAAGATAGAGTCCATCATGAACCCAAAAAACAATGAAATGGTGTAGAGTAGGGGTCAGAGACCTGTGTACCTCACATTTGCACTGACCTGCTCTTTAATGGTTTCAGCCAGGCACAAAGTTATCCTCTATTTGTGCTGTAATATTGGTGGAATATAGCGAAACTGCAATTGTGCTTTCTCCTTTCTTTTCCCTCAGGATGGTAGCTCTGCACTGAAACACATGCTGAAGATCGGATCGGACACTAGTACAACGCCAGAGGGAGGTAGTGTGCCCAATACTTCATCACCAACAAAAGCATATGGGAAACAGTTATCAGTGCAGGAACTGTTTGATGGTGAGTGATGATAATAATACAGTCGAGCACCGTTGTCTCGATATTTATGGGGCCAAGAAAACATATTGAGTTATCCGAACTTCGAGACATCCGACCAGGGCATATCACATATCACTATGAAAGAAAACAAAACGCTTCTCAGTATGTTTTGATTCAAAACTATAATCCGTCATCAGTAGTGTTTAGCTGAACACTGAGTACTTCCTGATTAAATCCTTCTTACTTAATCGTAATTAAATAACAAACAAGTGATATCTTCAATGAACCCTTTGATTCATGTTACACCGTGTCTAAACGTGTGGAAACAACCTCCGTTCAGAGCGATACTTGCCCATGAAAGGTAGGTGAATATCGAGTTTCCTTGCAAATATCGAGTTAAAAGGGTAATTTTACTTGTTGGGACCATGAAATTATATCGAGATATCTGAAATATGGAGACATCCGTATCGAGTTAAAAGAGTTTGAATAATGATAAGTTATGAAGGATTTTGCTGGGACCGAGATATTTTTTCGAGAAAACCGAGATATCGAGTTATCAGAGTTCGACACAACGGTGCTCGACTGTACATGCATATATAAATCATAGCAATTCACAATTATGATGTGCTCTGTGTACTAGTGAGGTCAGTCCTACTGATGTCAGTGCAGGACCTGTACCCCATAACAGTCTTGTCAAACAGACAGAGCAGTTGTTGTACTGTGCCAGCTTTGTGAACCAAGCCCAGGTATCCAATGCGAAGATGATTTTTGTGCTATGACTATTGTAAGCCTGTGTTAAGTGTAGGAGTTCCATTAGTAACAACAAAGTGTGCACTTTGTGATGTGATATGAGTCTGAGGTCATGAACTGAAGATATGCTACTTATATCATGGTATCTAATATTATTGTGCTGCTTTGTTGATTCCTTAAAACCATAGAAGTAGTGTTCAGTGTTCAGTCACTAATCATTTATTTGAGTCTGTAGCCAAATATGTATCCCTACCAATAGTACCCTAATCTTGATTATCAGCAGGGTCATATTTCTAAGCCCATTATAACACTGCATACAGATTTCTTACTTCAGTTCAGAAAATGTCTCCTTTTAATCTCTATGTCAAAATCAGACAACATGAGTTGAAATTGATCTGCTGTTCAGAATGCATGTGAGTGAATCAGTTTGAGCATCATGTGTGACTTCTGTATCTAAAAACGAAAGTAAACAGGCAGTTCAGAATGAAGAATAATTCTGAGTTATTTTCTAGATATCCTCCAACCTGCCATTTCATGACACAAACATTTTGTAGGTGCTAAACAACAGGAGACCTCTCCACCACAACCCAAACAGCAGCAACAGGAACACCAACAGCAGCAACAACAACAACAACAACACCAACAGAAGGGGCAAGACAATTGGCAGCAACAAGGTCAGGGACAAAGACCACATCAACAGCAAGGTCAAAGGAAACAGCATCAAGGTCAAGGTCATGTGAACCACCGACCTCATGACTCTGGACCTAGGTTAGACACAGGGTGTGTTGTGGTTTGTTTGTGCTTTCTTTAACATTGCATGACTGAAAGAGTTGTTCAAGCATCCTTTAAATGGATTTGTATACAGTTTATCTTGACAATGTATCAGACAGGCACTTTTTCAAATCTAACTGTCCCATAGAAATGGTACATTTTCGAAGCGCCTGATTCCTACCTCAGTGAAAATCTGCGTCAACTCTTCCCTCCGCATTCTTGTAGCCTCATTACTCTAGAAGATTCTTCACCACCACGAGGTGTTGTGTTATCTACGTCTGATATTCATCCCGGCCGTCTTTGGTGGTGAATGTTCCTCAACGCCTTTACGTTTCGGAGGTGGGGACTACTCATGCGGCGCTTATTGTGATTCCTAACATTACATCACAAGTGATGTTTACTTCCAGTTCGACGCTTACATCAGGAGCTACCTACGTTTAGAGCGCCGCTTGTCACTGATTCCACGTGTTTACTCAGAGCGCCGCTTACTTCCAGTTCGGCGCTTTCTACCAGTGTGCCGCTTACTTTTGAAGCGCCGCTTACATCAGGACAGTTATCTACGATTAGAGCGCCGATTGTCACGGATCCCATATGTTTGGTCAGAGCACCGCTTACTTCCAGTTCGGCGCTCTTGTTTGGTTCCGGTTCGACGCTTGTGCCTGGTTCGGCGCTTCCTCCCAGGGTTCCTGGTTCGGCGCTTCCTCCCAGTGTTCCTGGTTCGGCGCTTACGCCCAGTTAGGCGCTTCCTCCCGGTTCAGCGCTTCCTCCTGGTTCGGCACTTCTCCCAGTGTTCCTGGTTTGGCGCTTACTCCCAGTGGTCCTTGTTCGGCGCTTACTCATGGTTCGGCACTTCCTCCTGGTTCGGCGCTTCCTCCCAGTGTTCCTGGTTAGGTGCTTCCTCCCGGTGTTACTGGCTTGGCACTTCCTCCTGGCGCTCCCAGTTCGGACTCCCGGTTCGGCTCTTACTCATATTGACTTTGGTTCAGCGATTGCTCTCTGTGTTCCCGGTTCGACGCTTCATCATGGTGCTTTCAGTTAAGCGCTCACTCACAGTCTTCCTGGTTCAGCCCTTACTTACAGTATTACCGGTTCAACGCTTGCTCCTGGGGTTCCTGGTTCGACGCTCACTCATGGTGCTCCAGGTTCAGTGCTGCCTCATAGTTCACTGGCTTCTGTATTGACTCATGGTACAACGCTTCCTCAGGTTTCATCGCTTACTGCCAGGTGTCGACTTCGGCGCTAGGTCCACTCAGTTCAGCTCTGGAGTTCAATGCACGGGCTCCTACGTCTAGGCTTTCTGTTTAGTTCCCAACAACGTGATATTATCATCCACAGGAAGGGGAACTTAATCTTCCTCAAGTTACTAAAAGCCTTGAGTGATACACGGTCGAGGTGGGAACGTGATGGAACCAAAATTACCTGGCTTCATATCAAAATGGATAATAAACTGCTACTGTTAACACAAGGCATCAAAGTCAACAGGCTGACAAGTTGCCCCATCAGACACCGGATTCGAGGATACCGGTAAAATAGGTCTTGACATTGATACTGTTGAATATAGGATAGATGAACCGGAGTAGACCTTGAGAAATGACAAGGCACCTCACACACAGAACGAGGGGGGAAGGTGGGGTAGCCTAGTGGTTAAAGTGTCTGCTCGTCACGCTAAAGGCCTGGGTTTGATTCCCCATATGGGTAAAATGTGTGTTCCATGCAACATGGAATGTATCCTATTTATGAGACATAATATACTGACAAGATGATATGTTGTCTTTCGATGAATTGCAGGAACGGAGTGCAAGAAAGTTTCCTTTTTTGAAATCGAGCCCTGGATTGTTTGGTGCTGACTGGAATATTATGTAGCTTTGAATAGTGCTGATTTGGGTGTTAAAGATCACATATACCCTATACATAAATCACTAACTGGCATCGTTATAAATGAAACCCCGTCATTAAAACTACTCATTTCGACCTTTAATTGACTTAAATCGACCTTTTTGACAACAGTGCACAATTCTCACCCGCGAACGAAATTTCACCCAATCAGAGCGGCGCGTCTCTGTGATGTCATATGAGGAATAGCTTTGAGGGCCGATGCAGAATTCATCTACATTTTAGGGGGTATATTATCTTGTTTACAGGCTGGTATAAACCTGAAATCGTGACAATTGTTGTGGAAAATGAAAGCTATATGTTCTCACAATCTACTGTCATTTAATTTTGTCTCCTGCTTTGCCTAGTTTCTGAGTTACAACTTGTTTTCATAGACGATTCTGTCAAAATCGCTTGGTGTCGTTAGGCCCTATTTGTATAATGACTGATCCAAATTGATCCCATTTCTGTGTTTTTTTACCTCGATATTTAATCATGTCATGTAAAACTCTGTTTGTATTCTCATAAGTTTTCACATGCAATACAGCAATTAATACTCCCTTTTTGTAACCCGTGTTAGGTGGTATAAACCTACACATGTTATTTGTCATCATTCACTTGATGGTCAGTTAATGAATTTATAACAGGTATAATTAGTGGTAACACACTTAGATTACCCGACAAAGGTTCCCATTTGGCATTTCTTGTGTCTGGAGTAAATATTCAACATTATAAACATCAATCAAAGGATTAACCGATAACACGCTGATTGATTAATTACTTTTATCTTACACAGCGGAATTGTCAAAAGGTAGTGTTTATGTATGTAGATTTACTAATCTATACTGAATACACTCTGTCGTGTCAGTGTCTGCGTAAAAACAACGTCCTTCTTTCAAAGGATTAACCGACAATACATTGATTGATTGCCCATTATTGGCTAACTAAATTACTGTTTTTAAAGAAAGGCGGACATTATACAATTAGTTGCCAGGTGTGCTATCTTGGGTGACCAATGAGATTATACACCAATACCTGAAAAGATTTATCACTTTTTTGTATATTAAACTGTTAAAAGACACATCATTTGGAACAGTTTTGTGGATATTGATGGATACATTCCTCGAACAAGGTAATGGCCTGATATTGTTCCTATAACTTTAATCTGTTTTAATTTTAATATTTGCATTTTGTTTTTATTCATTTGTCGTAGCATTCAACAGAATCATTGTTTTTGCCGTGAAGTGTAATGAGACAGACAACATACACTAGGGTGTGTGTGCGAATTATGATTCACATTGGCAAACTATAAAATGTCTAGATATTACAGTTCTGTTATAAATTCACTATAAGTATCAGCAGATCGTCTGCTTTTTATTTAGTTTCAAAATGCATACAAGTATGATAATAAACTAATTAGGATTATAAGACCAAATATAAAGACGACATTGACTAGTATCTACATACTGGTGAGTGGACATTAACCATGTGAATGTAGCAAGAAATTTATCGCGCAGTATTGTGACTTCGACCCCCACCTTGCTTCCGTGGAAGAAATCGTTATGTTATAAGTTGTGTCATGCAACATCCGTTTAATTATGATTCCAATACATATTTAACTACGAGTAGAAAGTAGTTTTGATTTTCTAACTTGATGAAAACAAACTATAATCTCATTAATTCTAACAGACTTTACGATTTTCAAACATGGCGGCGCCCTGTCGGGAACATCCGCCAGTCTGAGGATAAATGGTATTTAGGTTTGTTTTCACTGAGTTACAAAATCAAAACTACTTTCTACTGGTAGTAAAATATGTTCAGAGCGATACTTGCTCATGAAAGGTAGGTGAATATCGAGTTTCTTTGCAAATATCGAGTTAAAAGGGTAATTTTACTTGTTGGGACCATGAAATTATATCGAGATATCTGAAATATCGAGTCATCCGTATCAAGTTAAAAGAGTTTGAATAATGATAAGTTATGAAGGATTTTGCCGGGACCGAGATATTTTTTCGAGAAAACCGAGATATCGAGATATCAGAGTTCGACACAACGGTGCTCGACTGTACATGCATTTATAAATCATAGCAAGTCACAATTATGATGTGCTCTGTGTACTAGTGAGGTCAGTCCTACTGATGTCAGTGCAGGACCTATACCCCATAACAGTCTTGTCAAACAGACAGAGCAGTTGTACTGTGACAGCTTTGTGAACCAAGCCCAGGTATCCAATGCGAAGATGATTTTTGTGCTATGACTATTGTAAGCCTGTGTTAAGTGTAGGAGTTCCATTAGTAGCAACAAAGTGTGCACTTTTATGATGTGATATGAGTCTGAGGTCATGAACAGAAGATATGCTACTTATATCATGGTATCTAATATTATTGTGCTGCTTTGTTGATTCCTTAAAACCATAGAAGTAGTGTTCAGTGTTCAGTCAGTAATCATTTATTTGAGTCTGTAGCCAAATATGTACCCCTACCAATAGTACTATAATCTTGATTGTCATTAAGGTCATATTTCTAAGCCCATTATAACACTGCATACAGATTTCTTACTTCAGTTCAGAAAATGTCTCCTTATAATCTCTCTCTGTCAAAATGAGGCAGCATGAGTTGAACTGAACAGATCTTCAGAATGTATGTGAGTGAATCATTTTGAGCATCATGTGTGACTTCTGTATCTTAAAACGAAAATAAACAGGCAGTTCTGAATGAAGAGTTATTCTGAGTTATTATCTAGACATCCTCCAACCTGCCATTTCATGACACAAACATTTTGTAGGTGCTAATTATAAACAACGAGACCTCTCCACCACAACCCACTCAGCAGCCACTGGAACACCAACAGCAGCAACAACAACATCACCAACAGAAGGGGCAAGACAATTGGCAGCAACAAAGACCACATCAACAGCAAGGTCAAAGGAAACAGCATCAAGGTCAAGGTCATGCGAACCACCGACCTCATGACTCTGGACCTAATTTAGACACAGGGTGTGTTGTGGTTTGTTTGTGCTTACCTTAACTTTGCATGGCTGAAAGAGTTGTTCAAGCATCCTTTAAATGGATTTGTATGCAGTTTATCTTGACAAGGTATCAGACAGGCACTTTTTGTCCCATAGAAATGGTACATTTTTAAACTTATCCTATCTCACGGTATGCACCATCTCTCTCTTCTACGACCATGTGTTGAAACGTGCTGTCAGCTAAGTTGAGTCAAATCTAACTGGCCTCTGACCCGCCCTGACCTGTGCCCTCACCCCGACATCAATGCCTGTCCATCTAAGCGTTTCAGCTCGCCCAAATGATCACATGACCACCTCTACCTGTCATTCTCTTTCTTGTCGCCACGTTGTGTGGGCGTGTGTTTGTCTATAAGAGAGTTTGATTGTGTTTCTACAATGGGAAAATCGAATCGTTATGGTTCTAATAAACGCAAACATTGCGATAACTGCAACAGTAATTTCTCGGTGGCAGACCTACATAACCTATGTGTTGACTGTTTAGGCCCGGTGTGAATGGTCTAGATTTGCACGATGATGCGTTTTCCGAATATCACCGGGTAGCTTGTAGACGCAAGTTTGACAGAGATTGTCGGAATCCATCTGAGGGTCTGAGTTGTAAACGTCCTAAGTTAGATCGCCTAGTTTTCTGCAGTACGATGTTCGAAGTCAAAGTCTCCTAATGAAGATTTCTTAGAGAAGCGTCTGATTCCTACCTCAGTGAAAATCTGCGTCAACTCTTCCCTCCGCATTCTTGTAGCCTCATTACTCTAGAAGATTCTTCACCACCACGAGGTGTTGTGTTATCTACGTCTGATATTCATCCCGGCCGTCTTTGGTGGTGAATGTTCCTCAACGCCTTTACGTTTCGGAGGTGGGGACTACTCATGCGGCGCTTATTGTGATTCCTAACATTACATCACAAGTGATGTTTACTTCCAGTTCGACGCTTACATCAGGAGCTACCTACGTTTAGAGCGCCGCTTGTCACTGATTCCACGTGTTTACTCAGAGCGCGCTTACTTCCAGTTCGGCGCTTTCTACCAGTGTGCCGCTTACTTTTGAGCGCCCGCTTACATCAGGACAGTTATCTACGATTAGGCGCCGATTGTCACGGATCCCATATGTTTGGTCAGAGCACAGCTTACTTCCAGTTCGGCTCTTGTTTGGTTCGGTTCGGCGGCTTGTGCCTGGTTCGGCGCTTCCTCCCAGGGTTCCTGGTTCGGCGCTTCCTCCCAGTGTTCCTGGTTTAGTAACTTCGCCCAGTTAAACGCTTCCTCCGGTTCAGCGCTTCCTCCTGGTTCGGCACTTCTCCCAGTGTTCCTGGTTTGGCGCTTACTCCCAGTGGTCCTTGTTGGGGCGCTTACTCATGGTTCGGCACTTCCTCCTGGTTGGTAGCTTCCTCCCAGTGTTCCTGGTTAGGTGCTTCCTCCGGTGTTACTGGCTTGGCACTTCCTCCTGGCTCCCAGTTGGACTCGGTTCGGCGCCTTACTCATATTGACTTTGGTTCAGCGATTGCTCTCTGTGTTCCGGTTCGGCGCTTCATCATGGTGCTTTCAGTTAAGCTCACTCACAGTCTTCCTGGTTCAGCCCTTACTTACAGTATTACGGTTCAACGCTTGCTCCTGGGGTTCCTGGTTTGGCGGCTCACTCATGGTGCTCCAGGTTCAGTGCTGCCTCATAGTTCACTGGCTTCTGTATTGACTCATGGTACAACGCTTCCTCAGGTTTCAGCTTTACTGCCAGGTGTCGACTTGGCTAGGTCCACTCAGTTCAGCTCTGGAGTTCAATGCGCGGGCTCCTCGTCTAGGCTTTCTGTTTAGTTCCCAACAACGTGATATTATCATCCACAGGAAGGGGAACTTAATCTTCCTCAAGTTACTAAAAGCCTTGAGTGATACACGGTCGAGGTGGGAACGTGATGGAACCAAAATTACCTGGCTTCATATCAAAATGGATAATAAACTGCTACTGTTAACACAAGGCATCAAAGTCAACAGGCTGACAAGTTGCCCCATCAGACACCGGATTCGAGGATACCGGTAAAATAGGTCTTGACATTGATACTGGAGTAAATATTCAACATTATAAACATCAATCAAAGGATTAACCGATAACACGCTGATTGATTAATTACTTTTATCTTACACAGCGGAATTGTCAAAAGGTAGTGTTTATGTATGTAGATTTACTAATCTATACTGAATACACTCTGTCGTGTCAGTGTCTGCGTAAAAACAACGTCCTTCTTTCAAAGGATTAACCGACAATACATTGATTGATTGCCCATTATTGGCTAACTAAATTACTGTTTTTAAAGAAAGGCGGACATTATACAATTAGTTGCCAGGTGTGCTATCTTGGGTGACCAATGAGACTATACACCAATACCTGAAAAGATTTATCACTTTTTTGTATATTAAACTGTTAAAAGACACATCATTTGGAACAGTTTTGTGGATATTGATGGATACATTCCTCGAACAAGGTAATGGCCTGATATTGTTCCTATAACTTTAATCTGTTTTAATTTTAATATTTGCATTTTGTTTTTATTCATTTGTCGTAGCATTCAACAGAATCATTGTTTTTGCCGTGAAGTGTAATGAGACAGACAACATACACTAGATTCACATTGGCAAACTATAAAATGTCTAGATATTACAGTTCTGTTATAAATTCACTATAAGTATCAGCAGATCGTCTGCTTTTTATTTAGTTTCAAAATGCATACAAGTATGATAATAAACTAATTAGGATTATAAGACCAAATATAAAGACGACATTGACTAGTATCTACATACTGGTGAGTGGACATTAACCATGTGAATGTAGCAAGAAATTTATCGCGCAGTATTGTGACTTCGACCCCCACCTTGCTTCCGTGGAAGAAATCGTTATGTTATAAGTTGTGTCATGCAACATCCGTTTAATTATGATTCCAATACATATTTAACTACGAGTAGAAAGTAGTTTTGATTTTCTAACTTGATGAAAACAAACTATAATCTCATTAATTCTAACAGACTTTACGATTTTCAAACATGGCTGCGCCCTGTCGGGAACATCCGCCAGTCTGAGGATAAATGGTATTTAGGTTTGTTTTCACTGAGTTACAAAATCAAAACTACTTTCTACTGGTAGTAAAATATGTATTTTATTGATGGCCAATAGGATTTTGCATGACATAGCGTATAACATAACAATTTCTCTCCTGGCAGCGAGGTGGGTGTCAATATAATACTACTTAAAATATTATTGTTACTTCGACCACAACCTCACTTCCAAGGAAGAAATCGTCAGTTACAAGTTGTGTCATTGAAAATCTTTATGGTCATCAATCATATACATATTTTACTGCAACTAGTAAGTAGTTTTGATTCTTTAACTTCCGTGAAGCGATCTGAACACAAGTAAGATATCGTTTCAGGCTTCCACAACGCTGGCCACAGCACTCACAAACATAACCCATTTAGCACGAACTGCGCGGGTCCTGTGGAAATCTGTGCATGGTGACACCATCGCCCGACCCCTAGGAGCAATTGACAACAAAGCAACGATTCGGCATGTCGTCGTTGATGTCGAGAAATCATCAAAATGATGAGCGTGCTACACACTTTCTATACAACTAACTGAAAAGCGTTCCTCATATGACGTCACTCCAGTGCTCTGGTGACAGAGTTACGTAACCTGTTTGTGGTTTCGTTGGCGGGCGAGAGGGAAGAAGGCGACTTTTTGGCCACTTTTAATCGCTCGGTATTGATTAGCCACAAACAAACAATAAATATGACATATAACCTATTAGCATGATCAGAAACAGACTGGTGAATCAGACCATGATTTTGGCTGGTGAACTGCCTGCCTGATACAATCTGTACAATATACCTTTCCTTGTGCATGTTGTTGAATATCTGGAGCTTCTCTGTCAGTATTTCATATCAGGGGGCATGAGTGGACCGTTTTCCAAGGCACGTCTGTGCAGAGCTTGTGTCTCAGACATGCCAAATCCAATGGTCGTAGGTGTGAAACCCCTATTCACGCTGATTTTAATGATTAGTTTGTAAACAATATTTGTGGGTTCTACCAATATTTGCATCCCTTTGGGGTTTCCACCCATATTAAGCTAATGATGTTACTGAAATACTGAAAACAGAAGCATTCAAAGAGAACCTCCCTCACTTTGTTTAACCATGAGTTTGTAAATTGTACTTGACTTTACATATATAGCTTCCAAAAAGTGCTGCGTGTTATCCATTCTTTAATACAAGAAAAATACCTCCAAATTGTGTTTAGTGTTTAAGTTACTCCTTGTTCTAATTATTTTTTCTTATCCTGACTCATGATCTTTTGCTTATCTCCATTTCCCTTGCGAATGGTAGTGGAAACACTTGAATCCCTTGAAGTTCCCGAAGCGGACGTAAAAATACACTCACCCACGAGTTACCTCCCTTTTCCCATGTAAACAGTCATGGGACCAGCCTTACTTGTCACTCTCTCCTGATTTGGCTGCCTTCATGGGGTTAGAGACCTCCCCTGTCATCATTGAAGACGAGGGCGTGGCAGCCAGGCGATTTTTACATAGAGTTCTCAACGATGGCAGTCACAGAGTCAGCCATCGCTTCATTTCCTTACAGACACGGTAAGGGTGTCAAGATCGTAGGATATAGATACAAGTTCGTGTATCTCAAGCACTACTCTCTCCGCTTTTACTACGAAGTAGCGGAATCTGTTGGTTTTTCGCACGTCCGCACAAGACATGACATGCAGAGAATTACAACTACGCCCACTACTGGTCTTCATGAATGTACAACGGACGATCCGGACAGGTTATAACCCATATCTATATATGGTGAACTCCGTGCGAGGAAGGTTGCAGGCGCACCTAATTAGCGGGGTCGCAGTACAAGACGCATCTCTATGGGGACGCATCTCTCCTAGAGTGGGAGCACACCTTGTCAACAATGTGTCAGCTGGGATATGGACCATAGCAGAGACGATCTGCACTTCCATATGCTGGAAATGAAAGCAGCGATAAACGCCATACTCCACTGGATCAGCTTTTTTATAAAATGCTCATCTAACGGTACACACAGTCACCTCCACAGTGACGGTCTACATCCACAGAAGGATCAGCAAAGTTGGCGAACCTTCTGGACCTCTGCTTTCAGTTGATCATCGTAACAGTCAACCTGACTGTCCACAGAGTATGCCACATTCCAAGAACCAAGAATGTGTTAGCAGATGCACTATCCTGTCCAACGCAGCCATTCTCAACAGACTGGATGCTACATTCAGAGATCTTCAAACAGATCATATAAGAGATGGTTGAACCTTTAATAGACCTCTTCGCCACAAGTGTCAACTGATAACATTCGTCTCACCAATACCAGATCCACAGACAGGGGCAACGGACATGCGAAGCATCTCCTGCCTAGGACTAAACACTTACGTGTTTCTCCACCAGCTCTAATACCTAGGGTATTGCAGAAATCAGTCAGGCGAGAGACCCACAACTATTTGGGGCACGCCTTTTGACCAGCGAGAATATGAATTCCTATTCTCATACAAGACCTAGTACTGCCTCTACTGCAACTACCAGAGTGTACGAATCTACTAGTACATCCTCACACAAAGCCGAGGTGTTCCGGCTACACGTGTGGACTGTATCAGGCATGCTTGAACAAGAGAGGATATTTCGCGAGAGCAGCGAAAGCAGTCACACTAGCTTTACGCAAGTCTTCACGCAACTTGTCTGACGACAAGTAGTGACGCTTCGAGACAAAAGATACATTTCGAAGATCGGCTTGTCAGCCATGAAAGTGACACATCCTCAAGTGGCGGACTACCTTTGTCACCTAGACAAAGGAAGCGGTTAAAAGGGTCAACACTCTCAACATACCTAGCGGCATTGAGATCAGTTATCATCATGAGGACGAGTGCAACTGACAAAAGTACCAGAGTTACTGGCCTTACTACGCCCTTTTAATTGGAGGACCAACAGATTTAAAGCTCTGGTTTGGGACCTCAGCGTTGTTCTACGACATCTCACTAGTGACATCTACGAACCATTACAGAGAACATCATTAGAGTTCTTGACGCAGAAGGCGCTGTTCCTGATATCCTTAGTAACAGCAGCAAGGATGTCGGAAATACATGCTCTGGATTTGAGAGAACACGATTTGATGCAAATCAAATATCGTGCATATGGGACTTCATAGCAAAGAATTAACTGCCAGGTCATCCAGACAGACAGTTCCACGTCCCAACACAGGATATGCAGGTCTTATCCTTGTGCCCAGTACAAGCATGGAAAGTCTACCTACAACGATCCAGGTCCATGAGATGGAAATTCAAGTGTCTTTTCGTCTCGATATCAACAGCGGCAGAGACGAAGGTCTTCCGCACTAAGATATCAAGCTGGATCAGAACTGTCATACTACGGGCATACAAAGCAGCAGGACTGGATCCTCCAAGAGCCTCCAACCCACATGAAGTGAATCTCTGACGTCAACACTCTCTATACTTGGGAATCGCTTTATCAGGACGATAATGGAGGGCTGCTTCTTGAAATGGGACATGGTGTTTGCCAACCACCACTTGAGGGACATCGCCACTGAGGACGGCTCTTACATTCACCATTTCGGCCCACTTATTGTAACACAACAATTGACAGTCCCACTAAGGCGCTGAGATGGAGTCTCGCCCTTTTTATCGCATGACTTACTAAGCTTACACTCAGCAGAGTTCTGCTTAAGTCACAATGCACGTTTAACAACTAGCATAAGTGATATGACCCAGTACTTGTAAGGATACTTGTACCGGAATGGGTCGCTTCTCCACTTGGTGCTTGCATCAAAATCGCAAAATCCACATATAATGTTAACAGAAGAAAGGACCAAAAGTTAACTATTGTTAACTGCCCCCCATTTAAAGGCAGCTGGAAGGTCAGGGTCACAACAGCAGCAGAATTTACCAGTAAATACAGTGCCATTACGAAGTTCCCGTAGGGGGGTATATAATGACGTAAAATTCACTAAAGAAATCCTAAAGTGCTTTTCCCACCACCTTTTCCGTCGGATTCTACAAGCAAAAGAGCATGAGTCAGGATAAGGAAAAATGTGTAATTTTCTGAATAAAATTGATATTTTATACTTATCCTGACTCATGAGGTAAGCCCACCCAGCCTCCCCACTAGACACTTTGGATTTCCCTGCAAATACAAGTGTCGGGCTCATAATCAGGAGAGAGTGAGGCATGGCGGGACGGTGGCGCCACAGTTTCCCGCCTAAACAGCTGGAGAGATAACTCTTGGTAGGAGTGATTTTACGTCTATTCTTTATTGAAGGGAGCTTCAATAGGAGATACAAGTGTTCCACTATGTTCGCAAGAAGAAGAAGACATGCAAAAAGAGCATGAGTCAGGATAAGTATAAAATATCAATTTTATTCAGAAAATTACATATTTATTACTTATACACCTGCAGAAATCACCTATTTATATAAAACGCACACACAAATATATTGTGTGAGCTTTATGAAATATATATACAAATATGTTATATTGTGTGACATATGATACATGCATGATACATGCATGTTGTTATATTGACTGAATAAATATATTGTCTACTATATATATCACACTCTGTTTTAATTGGTTTGTTAATATCGAGAACACTGGGAGTGAAGTCACTCATGTAGAACATCACCTCCCTTTTCCCAGACTGTCGACAAGTAATTTGGAAGGGTTCTTTCTTGTTGTCGACAGTCCGGGCATAAACCGGGCCCTCCTTGATGCAGCAAAATATAGTTTTGAATGTTGAATTCCATTGCCATTACTCCATACTTTAACAGACAAATTCCTGAATGGTCCCTGCAGAACTTTTAACAGTCACCTCTAAACAGTTATGAGCACTATAGAAGGGCAAGGATGTGATTCCTAAATCATGCATGAAATTCTTTCTGAGTGACGTCACACTTTAGTGCATGGACGAATCAATTCTGAAACCGAAACATGCAGCTCTGCACCCCAAATCCGCACCCAAGCTCTGTGCAGAATAGATTGGCTTCAGACATGTTTTATATTATGTCAAATTGAAGAGAATGATTGTTTTCCACACAGATGAGTTAATAAATACCAACTTCCAGGTTGACTGGATTTAAAGCTTGAGTTTATCAAAGTCTAGAGTACAATATAGATAACAATATAGAATTGTGAAACGGTAAAATTGAGTATTCCTAATATTTTTTAGATTTCTATATGTTCACCTTTCCTTCCAGTGAATACAAGCTGAAGCACATGATAGACTTTGTGAGGAACCTGCCGTGCAATAATGTCAAGCCTTTGTCCACGGGGGCAGACATCTTGGAAGAGGCGTGGTCAAGGCAATAGAAGAGGAGGTGGACAGAGTTAATGTGAGTGTTGTGTGTTCCTTCCACCCATTATATCAGGAAAACTTCAATACATTGTAAGTGATCATTAAAGCTGTAACAAAACCACTTGCACTCTGTTGTTATGGTTGTAGGTGAACGTTGAAGTGGCGTACGACACATTCCTCTGTTGTTGTTGGTTGTAGGTGAATGTTGAAGTGGCGTATGACACATTCCTCTGTTGTTATGGTTGTAGGTGAATGTTGAAGTGGCGTACGACACATTCCTCTGTTGTTGTTGGTTGTAGGTGAATGTTGAAGTGGCGTATGACACATTCCTCTGTTGTTATGGTTGTAGCTGAATGTTGAAGTGGCGTACGACACATTCCTCTGTTGTTGATGGTTGTAGGTGAATGTTGAAGTGGCGTACGACACATTCCTCTGTTGTTGATGGTTGTAGGTGAATGTTGAAGTGGCGTACGACACATTCCTCTGTTGTTGATGGTTGTAGGTGAATGTTGAAGTGGCGTACGACACATTCCTCTGTTGTTGATGGTTGTAGGTGAATGTTGAAGTGGCGTACGACACATTCCTCTGTTGTTGATGGTTGTAGGTGAATGTTGAAGTGGCGTACGACACATTCCTCTGTTGTTGATGGTTGTAGGTGAATGTTGAAGTGGCGTACGACACATTCCTGTGTTGTTGATGGTTGTAGGTGAATGTTGAAGTGGTGTACGACACATTCCTGTGTTGTTGATGGTTGTAGGTGAATGTTGAAGTGGTGTACGACACATTCCTGTGTTGTAGATGGTTGTAGGTGAATGTTGAAGTGGCGTACGACACATTCCTCTGTTGTTGATGGTTGTAGGTGAATGTTGAAGTGGCGTACGACACATTCCTCTGTTGTTGATGGTTGTAGGTGAATGTTGAAGTGGCATACGGCACATTCCTCTGTTGATGGCTGTAGGTGAATGTTGAAGTGGCGTACGACACATTCCTCTGTTATTATGGTTGTAGGTGAATGTTGAAGTGGCATACGACACATTCCTGTTTTGTTGATGGTTGTAGGTAAATGTTGAAGTGGCGTGTGACACATTCCTCTGTTGTTGATGGTTGTAGGTGAATGTTGAAATGGTGTACGACACATTCCTCTGTTGTTATGGTTGTAGGTGAATGTTGAAGTGGCGTACGACACATTCCTCTGTTGTTAATGGTTGTAGGTGAATGTTGAAGTGGTGCACGACACATTCCTGTGTTGTAGATGATTGTTTACAGGGCTTGATTTAAGAGATGTTAACCTACTTGCACCAGGTGCAACCTGAGATAAAAACCTAGTTGCACCAGCCAAATTCCAGCTGCACTGCTCTTATTGCAATATGTTATGAAAGAAATATGCTATTGAATTATTTAAAGTTTAGAAGAAAAATGAGCTGACATAATTATGCTTATAATGTTAGATTTATTGTCGATTTATTTCTCAAAAATTGACTTGCACCTGGTGCAAGTTAGACAAATAACTAGGTTGCACTTTGTAACATTGGATTGCATCAGTGCAAGGAACAAAGCACTCAATCGAGCCCTGGTTTAAGTCTGTCTTTTTCTTTCAGGAGGAAAACAGGAGGAAACAGAAGAAAGTCAAGATGCAAGTGAAACCTCATTTGTTGTTCAGAGTAAGTATAAGTGACTTAATGTGATTCTAATAATCTGGAACCAAATGGTCATTTTTCCAAGCAAGACATAAATGTTTTGTGTGTTAGTGAGAAGTTCCCAGTGTGATCACAATGATCATAAACATCTTGATTGTTATATGTTAGAAAGTGCTGGTCCCAATGTTGATCACTGGATTGTCAGGTCCAGACATGTTGATTTTCAGGCTGCTGTAGTATAGCTGGAATACTGCGAAGTGTGCCATGCACAACATACATGCACACAGACACTTTTCAGTCGAACAAAAGTATTTGGAATCAGTTTCATGCTCAGATGTGTTTTTAGCCCCTCATCAACCAAGACCAGACTGCCACCTACTGGCTGTACGACCGTGTGGTAGCTGTGAAGCTGGGATACCCCGTCCCCCTTGGATTGCGGGGACGGTTGTCGGCATCCACCCTGATGAGAAGGAGAGCGACATGCTGTATGATGTGGTGTTTGATGCTGAACTTATCGGAGGAATCAATGTCAGGTAGGCTGCAGGAGCATTGTGTGTTGGTTAAACCATGATGTTTAGGCTATGGGAAGGCTTCAGTTTTAGGAGGGCAATTTAGCGTGCACCTACGGGGGTGCTAGTAGCTCAGCTGTCTTCAGAACCACATTTTGCTGTGCAGAGTAACTTCCCACCTTCCATTCCACAAAGACAACAAAGTGCTACAGTGAATGTTAGCTTATTGTGAAATATGGGAGTTATGGTTACCTAAGTGAAAAGATCACTCTGTGGAATGTGGCCATGGACAGGTAACTCAGATACTCGGGTCAGGTGCGTCCTGAGTATTACGTAGGTACCAACAAGACTACCTGTACCCTGTTAGTCATATATATTGTTTAATGACAATAACAATAAAACTCTGTGGTTACCAGTTTCCTTTGTTGGTATTTCTTTCTGACAATGCATACCAAAGATATAGATCCATTCAACTTCAGTACATACATCAGGTCTTTTATCTGTGTTATTAAATGTTCTTGCCAATTCTGTCTTAATCAGACATTTTGTACCCAACCCTTATGCCCTATAGCGGGTCTCAGGTAGAGCGGGATAATAAAGGGGTGGGGTGGGGTGAGGGATATCCCGGAAGTTAATTAAGAGTAGACATAGACATAGACATTGTTATTATCCATGTGTCTAAATGTTCTTAATCAGACATTTTGTAGCCAACTCTCATGACCTAGAGCTGGCAGCCAGGCTAGGCGGGTAATAGCGGTGGCGGGTACCCAGGTAGTTAATCAAGACTAGACATATGGTCATGGGTTTGAACCAGGAGTTTGTTACCGTCTTTTGGTATGACGCGGTCGAGGATCGAACCCGCATCCTTCCGCTCTCCGGGCTCAAGGAGGCGGTTTTATGTTTCAGAATGGGGTTTCCATGTTGAACTGTGACATGGTATGGTATGTCAATGAGTTTCTCTATAAAACCATCATTTGATATTCTGTAATTGTACAAGTAGTCACTTCTACCAATGTGGATGCATGTTACTGTAAGCAAGTACAATAATAACAATGTTAAACCCTATTTCACCTCACCCAATACAGGGGCGGTGGGGTTGCCTAGTGGTTAAAGCGTTGGCTCTTCACGCCGAAGACCCGGGTTCGATTCCCCACATGGGCACAATGTGTGAATCGCATTTCTGGTGTCCCCCACCGTGATATTGCTGGAATATTTCTAAACGCGGCATAAAACTGAACTCAGTCAGTCAGTCACCCAATATATTATCTGTGACAAGATTTGGTGCAATATTGTGATTGTATTTGTCAAAATATTTGATTAAGGAAGCATGAATGAAAATAACACAATGACAAAGTTTACTACATATAAGATGAACATTGAAACTTACTGAACATTTTTATCATTTCGTTCACAGAAGAATGGTGGGTTTACCAGCAACAATCCCCAATTTGTTACACCAAAAGTCACACAAACACAGTTTTCTAAACGAACACCAAACAGAACTCAACAGACAGGAGGAAAGACACAAGTGAGTACTGATCTCAAACAGTTTGATTGTAACCAAAGCTTATTAACCAGAAGTGTCAACCATTTCAAAGTTTGACATAATGATATATATTTAGCACAAATCCATTACGTTTGTTTGCAGTATTTTATCAATAAAGCTCTGTGCACAAATGTATTGCAGCTAAAACAGAGAAACCCAGAGTTGTTACAATTTGAAAACATGTCCACAGTAAAAGCTTACCAGGGACAAAAGTATGGAAGATTCCTTTTTATATATTCTTCCTTTGGGTACTTATAAGCATTTAAATGTCCCTACGACAGTTGTAACAATATTTGAATAAAACTATTTACAAAACAAAAACTACGTTTTGTCTTGTGAGACCACCCTTACAGGGCCCTCCGGCCCCCTACAGCCAAGAGCAGGTAACTCTAGACCGTAACCTCATACCTCACTTTCCATGCTGTCGTTTACCGGCAAGACGTGGGTCCATTCAAGAAGTTTTCTTTTCCCTGCACAAAATTATGAGTGTGTCAGAAACAGCAACTGTATGTATGGTTCTCTTTTTTCCCTGCATGGGCGATTTGGAGGCTTGTTCTGAACTTTTTCATTCATAATTTCTAGTTGTAACTTGGCACCTGTCGCGGTCGGCTCGCCGAGTGCGTGTCAAGATGGCGGACAGGTCCCTTCGCTAGCCTCCCTGTTCATTGGTTTCCCGTGTGGTTTTTCAATGTTACAGGTGGTTATAGTACTTTTTATTTATATGTTGTTACATGTAGGGCATTTCCGCTGCTAGCATTTTCTATCTTACACTAAAAGTCGTAATTGTTAGTTATGTTGCAGTGCATATTATGATTATTGTCAACTGTATGCTACATTGTCGCATTAGTTGTGTCGCCCATGCGTGTTTTTTCATATATGTATGTGTGTATGGGGTTGATTGCTGCACAGATTTTTTACTTGTTGCAGTTTAAATCCTGTACTTCGTGCCTCGCTGCCATTCCCGTCAGGGACACGCACGAGATGTGTTTACGTTGCCTCATCCAAACTGATCATGAGGAAGAGGGGTGTCCGGCGTGTGCCATTTTTACGCCTCAAACTATTAAGGCACGACGGGTGGACCGTCTGTTTTACAGCAACCTGCTTTGGGCGGTGGGTGATATCCAAGCGTTCACACAAAAAAGGGGTCTACGGGAGCCGCTTCCCATACGGAGCCGGCTCCCAAAAGAGCTAAGGGTTCCAAGGAGGCTTTGTTGGAGAAAACTAATACATCTATATCTCAACCTGCTCCTGTATCTGCCACCCCCCCTGTTGTGTCGGCACCAGTTGTACCTGTTGACTCTTTAACCGTTTTGTTTCAGGAACAGATGTCGTCAGTGAAATCTCTGATCGATACAGCGTTGGCTGGGTTCCGTAAGGAGCTCAGCACGCCGGTCGTCGGGGGTGGAGGCCCGAGCTTCTGCTCGGAGAAAGCGCCTCCCCCCGGGCAGCTTGATCCCGGCTTCGGACGTGGGGATAGCGCGCCCTCGGCACCTGGTGGCGGCCTAGCTTCATTCTCAGGTCGGTCACAGGTGCCTGGCGCCGGTTCAGCCTCTGGCGTATCCTCGACAGTCTCTCAGGAGTATGAGAGTACGGCGGCCGAGGATTGTGCCGAGGTGGATATGGAGGATGATGGTGGGAGGGAGGAGTCGAAGGCAGGGGTTCTGTACTCCTTTGGCTTGTCTCTGCGGCAGGTTCGGGATAAGATCGCCGAAGCCCTCCCCCAGGTGGCCGTTACCGTACAGGCACCCGACCCCGCGGAGTTTCGGCTCCCGGGGGAGGCTTTCGCGCCTAGCCGGGTCGCCGAGGCACGCCTCTGCATTCTGCCATCACTGGTGAGTGAGGTGATCAATCCTCTCTTGACTGGTGCCCGCACACGGTTTGATTTGCCCGCAAGCGGTACCAGTTGGGAGAGGAGGCGCTGTTCGAGCCGCCAGTGGTGGACGAGTGCGTCTTTGCGTCCGTCATGCTAGGGGGGTCGTCCTCATCTTCCCTGGCCTTGGCCAGGCAGGGCATGCGCCTCCCCCCTTTTCCTACTTATTCACTTACGCTGAAGTCTGCGTATCGGTCCTTCGAGGAGTGCTACCGGTGCGCAGCCCAGGAATTAAAAGTGGCAGTCCACTCAGCCTACCTGTCTGCTCTGCAGGGACAGCTGGTGGATCAGAGCTCTTGTGACGCTGACTTGTCGGCGCCGGTGCTCGCACGGCAGCTCACGGGGGTACACTCTCATCTGGCTCGGGATAGCATTCGGTGCTGTGCCAGCCAGATGATGGGTGGCGTGATGGGCTTGCGTCACCTGTGGTTGTCCGTGGCGCAGTATTCACCGGCCACGCAACAGGCGCTCCTGTCATTGCCTTATACCATGGGGTCCTCCCTGTTCCCTGGGGCATTGCAGGTTGTACGGGAGGCCGCGGAGGCAGTTTCTACCTTCAAAGACTCTAAGCCTTTGTTGGAACAGCCCTCCGCTCCTCGCCACCGGCCTTCCCCGCTCGCTTCCGCTTATCCTTCTGCCCCGGCGAAGGACACTGCAAAGTGGACTGCACCTTTGCAGTCCGAGGGGAGCAGGCGCCCAAGAGGCAAGGGCAGGCCTGCTCAAGCACAGCAGCATTTTCGGGGCAGGGGGAAGCCAGCCCCGGCTTCCCGCTGATTCCTTCCCCAGAGCCCTTATTGTCCCCCACTCACGCAAGCGGAGACTTGCCGACTGTGGGGGTGCACTGCCTCATGCCACACGTCCCTGTCGGCGGCCGGTTGTCCCTATTCCTCCGGGAGTGGGAGGTAGCCACCTCAAATCCCTGGGTCCTGTCCACGCTCAGGGATGGCCATTTGCCACAGTGGAGGCGAGATCCTCCGTTCTTTTCCGGGGTTCAACAAGGCGCAACAAGGCGGACGCGCTCCGTGCCGAAGTTCAGTCCTTACTGAACAAGGCAGCCATCGAGATGGTTCCTGTGGGTCAGCAAGGAGAGGGGTTTTATTCCACCTACTTTCTAGTGACCAAAAGGACGGAGGGTTCAGACCCATTCTGGAGGTGCCGTCTTTCAGGATGGAGACACTCAGGTCAGTGAGACACTCCTCCGTCGAGAGGGGATTGGCTTACGTCAATCGATCTCAAAGACGCATACCTCCATGTTCCAATGCACCACGAGTTCAAGAAGTACCTCCGGTTCTCCTTCAACGGGACGTGCTACCAGTTTCGTGTGCTCCCCTTCGGCATCTCCACAGCGCCAAGGGTCAGTTAGCCAGGTCTCAGGGTAGGTGTTGTCACCCATACCTGGACGATTGGCTTCTCAGGGCCTTAGGTCCTCGGTTAAGCAGAGCCTCCACACTGTGCGTGATGGATACTCTGGTGTCACTGGGCTGGATTATCAACCTCAAGAAATCAGACCTCGTTCCGACGCAGGATCTGATTTTCTTGGGGGCCAGATTCAACACGGAGCTAGGGATTGTTTCCCTTGCTCCGGACCGCATCGTCAAAGTCCAGAGGACTGTGTTACAGTTTTTCCAGTCGCCCAATGCGTCGGCCCGAACATGGCTTCGGTTGCTAGGCAACATGGCGGCGACAGTGGACGTGGTTTGGCGTGCGCGTCTGAGGATGCGACCAGTTCAGCAAGCGTTAGCTCAGCTGTGGTCCCACTCGCAGAGCTATGAGATTATTCTCACAATGCCCGAGTGGTTAATTCCTCACTTGCGATGGTGGACGGACGTCGGGAATTTGTCCAGGGGGATCCCCCTCGACACCCCGACACCTTCCCTCTCAGTTCAGACGGACGCCTCTCTCACAGGTTGAGGGGGAGGTCCTGGCGAAGCACTCAGCCTCCGCCTCTGGTCGGAGCGGGAAGTCAGCCTACACATCAATGTGTTAGAACTGAGAGCAGTCCGCAGGGTGTTCGAGTGCTTCCGGGTGTTGGTGAAGGGCCGTGTGGTTCGTCTAGAAATGGACAATCAAACGGCCATGTCTTACATTCTCAAGCAAGGCGGCACAGTGTCTCCGTCGCTCCTTCAGGAGGCGTGGCAGTTTCTACTGTGGTGCGATCTGTTCAGCATTCGGGTTTTGCCTGTTTATCTCCCGGGGGTAGACAACGTCCGTGCAGATGCACTCTCACGGCGTATACTAGCCCCACACGAGTGGATGCTCGACCGGGAGATATTCGGGATTATCTCCCAGTTGTTCGGGTCCTTCCAGGTGGATCTGTTTGCGTCTGGGGTGACGAACCAGATTCCTGTGTTTTGCTTCCGGTTTCCGGATCCGGGAGCCAACGACGCCTTTCAGCTCGATTGGACGGACAGGGTACTGTGGGCGTTTCCCCCGATACCACTGATTTCCAGGGTCCTGTCACAGCTGACCGCACAACCAGCTCGGCTACTTGTGCTTCTGGCACCCCTTTGGTCGGCACAACGCTGGTTTCCGGTAGTTCTCGGGTTTCTGGCTCAGCCTCCTGTTCTATTACCTTTTCGACCGGACCTCCTATCCCAGAGCGGAGCGCCCCACCCGAATCTCAGGATTCAGTGGGTGGCTTGGCCGCTGTCAGGGATCGCCTCCGTACGAGCGGAATTCCTGCACCAGTTGCAGACACAATTCTGGCTTCGCGGAGGGATTCGACAAACGTTCAATATGAGGATAGATGGGCCTGTTATTCGCACTGGTGTGTCAACAGGGGGATTCTTGATCCCTTTTCTACAGATTTAGTATATGTTTTAGAATTCCTCCAGTCTCGGTTGGACGCCGGTCTAGCGGCTTCAACTGTTCGAGGATGTTCTACGGCTATTTCTGCGTTTCATATTCCTGTTGACGGTGCTCTCTTGGGGCAGCACCCTCTTGTGCAGCGCTTTTTAGCAGGCGTGGACAGAATCTGTCCGGTTGTCCGGCGGATTAGTCCCCCCTGGCACTTGTCAATTTTTCTTGATTGGCTGTCTGGTCCACTGTTTCACAATCTGTCGGCTCTTTCACTCCAGCTGTTGACGTGGAAGATGGCATTTCTTGTGGCGGTGACTTCAGGCAGACGGGTTGGCGATATTCACGCAATGTCAGCCGATCCCGCGCTTACTGTTTTTCGCAAAGACAGAGTTAGCATACGGCTGCCTGATACTTACCGTCCTAAGAAGGATAGTCCCTTCCATGTGACAGCGCCTATTGATCTCCCAGCTTTCACTCAGCCTTCCCTGTCCGGTACCTCTCTATGACGTGCTCACGTCTTAGATGTCCGTAAGACACTTAAGGCTTATATCAAACGAACAAGGGGTACCCGTAAGGGTAACCAATTGTTTTGTTGTTATGGCGGGGTTCAGGCTGGTCTTCCGGCGACCAAGCCAACCATTTCTCGGTGGCATGTCTCTGCCATACATATGAGCTATACTCAAACAGGGCGTATCCCACCTGTATGGTTGAAAGCTCATTCGGTTAGGGCAGTTGCTACATCGAAAGCTTACGCTGCAGCCCTGCCCATTGAGGAGATCTGCTCTCATGGCTATTTGGAGCCGTCCGAGTGCGTTCATCTGTCATTCCCAACTTGACAGACTCTCCAGTGGCGTGCTTTCGGTTCGGTCAGTCAGTTCTCTCCAGTGGGCATGGTTCCACCTCTCTAGCCGATTGAGCTTTCGAGGATTTTATTATGTGAACCATTCTATGCCAAATTTTTTAACACTGGTGTTGGGTTTTAAAATCTTGTTTACATATTCCCTTGGTGACGGGTTTTATGTGGTGATGGTTTTATTCCCATGTCTTTTTGCATTCTGCTCTAGACTTAACTGGCCTTGGAAACTTTGCTAAATATATATATATTAAGGCATTTCGTTTCTGGTGGCTTTTCGCGGGACCCTTATCTTCGCTTCGAGTAGATTACGGGGAGGAGGGAGGGTGTCTCGTTAGATTGCATTAGCGAGGTTTAAGCAGCAATTTACATATGTTCGACCCTGACCCTGGCTCATGCCCCGCCTGATTGGCTATGGTGGACACGTGACCGGGTAAGTGTGCTTTTTCTGCTATATTTAGCTTGGGAAATTCCACTTCTTGTCGGGGGTGTTTTCTGTAGGCAGAATGCCGCTCCTTAGCTCCGTCTTTAGCAGTCTGTCTTATGCTTATAAGTACCCCAAGGAGGAATATATAAAAAAGAATCGAACTAACCTGTAGAGGTTTCAGATTCTTTGAATATATTCCTCCTTGGGGTACGCCCACCCACCTCCCCACATTCTGTCTGACATCGTTCAGCATGGAAAGTGAGGTACGAGGTTACAGTCTAGAGTTACCTGCTCTTGGCTGTAGTGGGCCGGAGGGCCCTGTAAGGGTGGTCTCACAAGACAAAACGTTGTTTTTGTTTTGTAAATATTTTTATTCAAATATTGTTACAACTGTCGTAGGGGATTCCCAAGGAGGAATATATTCAAAGAATCTGAAACCTCTACAGGTTAGTTCGATTTGTAACACTGGAATTATACCTTCCTCTCTTTTGAAATTTAGTGTTTGCAGTACAGTGAAACCTGTCTAAACCGGCACCCCTCTGCACCGAAACTAGTGCCAGTTTAGACAGGGTCCGGATTAGACAGTGGCAATCATTTTCCATCATGGCCGGATTAGACATGTTTTAATGATCATAATATTGTTGTAAATAGTGGGACCAAAATTTTATGCCGGTTTTGACAGTGTGCCGGTGTTGGCAGGTTTCACTGTATAGCGTTTTATGTTGACCACCTAATGTGTTTTCCAGGACCTGATTTCACAAAACAGCAATAGCCCTAACTGGCATACTTTAACTCTGGGATATGATTGCTGTAGTGGTACGATTGCTTTGTGGAACAGGGGCAAAGGACAGAACAAGACCCATCCTTTTTAAGATGTAGTCTGGTTTCTTGTTGGTCTTTGTTCCCAAACAATGAATTGTTTTTGTTCATTAGACACTGGTTTGCCTGGATAAGATGTGGTCCTATTGTACCATAGATCCGTGAAGATCCGGGTTAGAATTGATCTTCAGTAACCCATGGCCACGGGATTGGGTGGTCAGGCTCGCTGACTTGGTTGACACATGTCATCGTATCCCAATTGCGTAGATCGATGATCATGCTGTTGATCACTGGATTGTCTGGTCCAGACTCGATTATTTACAGACCACCGCCACATAGCTGGAATATTGCTGAGTGTGGCGTAAAACTAAACTCACTCTCTCACTGTTGTACCATAATGAATTTCATCATTGTAGCCTTCCCAAGATGCAACCAGCAACTCAGAGTTTGCCAACATGTGGAAGGAGCTGCAGGCCGGCACAGTACAGACAGCGCCATCAAGTGGCAACCTCCTCCAAGAACCATCACTCCAATAGGCAGCACTTGCATTGGGGCAGATAACTCCTCCTACAACACGGCACCAGAAGAAACCAGAACTGAGTGGACGTGGTGACAGCGTTAATGAATCAGGAGTGGTAGCAGTAAGAAGATCGATCTTCAGACTCTGTTTGATCGTGCTAGCTTGCAGAAGGAAGCCGCGGAGAAAGATGAGTTCATTGCCATGATGGACTCTCTGAAGTTGTCCTGGAAGACCCAGAAGGAGGAAGAGGTCGTAGGAGGAATCAATAGTAATAATAATGCCACGGAACAGGTGAGGGAGACACTATCAGTCTCTTTCATTCTAAATGAGGAAAATCTCTCATGTTGGAGTAAGAATATACCCAGAGCATTGTGTTCCTTCTAATTTAGAGGTTGACATGCATAAGTTTGCCCAATAATGTTTATCACTTCTCAAACACACTTCCCTTTCTGTCTCCTAAGTTATGTTGCCCGCCTGTAGGGATTGCTTGTCATGGTTAGACTCAGTGACGTGGTTGATAGCATATCATTCTATTATCATGATGTCAGTCACTGGATAGGCTGGTCCTTACTTAGTAAGATAGAGTCCATCATGAACCCAAAAAACAATGAAATGGTGTAGAGTAGGGGTCAGAGACCTGTGTACCTCACATTTGCACTGACCTGCTCTTTCGTGGTTTCAGCCAGGCACAAAGTTATCCTCTATTTGTGCTGTAATATTGGTGGAATATAGTGAAACTGCAATTGTGCTTTCTCTTTCTTTTCCCTCAGGATGGTAGCTCTGCACTGAAACACATGCTGAAGATCGGATCGGACACTGGTACAACGCCAGTGGGAGGTAGTGCGCCCAGTACTTCATCACCAACAAAAGCATATGGGAAACAGTTATCAGTGCAGGAACTGTTTGATGGTGAGTGATAATAATAATACAGTCGAGCAACGTTGTCTCGATATTTATGGGGCCAAGAAAAAATATCGAGTTATCCGAACTTCGAGACATCCAACCAGGGCATATCACATATAACTATGAAAGAAAACAAAACGCTTCTCAGTATGTTTTGATTCGAAACTATAATCCGTCATCAGTAGTGTTTAGTCATAACACTGAGTACTTCCTGATTAAATCCTTCTTAATTAATCGTAATTAAATAACAAACAAGTGACATCTTCAATCAACCCTTTGATTCATGCCACACCGTGTCTAAACGTGTGGAAACAACCTCCGTTCAGAGCGATACTTGCTCAAGAAAGGTAGGTGAATATCGAGTTTCTTTGCAAATATCGAGTTAAAAGGGTAATTTTACTTGTTGGGACAATGAAATTATATCAAGATATCCAAAAGATCGAGACATCCGTATCGAGTTAAAAGAGTTTGAATAATGATAAGTTATGAAGGATTTTGCCGGAACCGAGATGTGTTTTTCGAGAAAACCGAGATATCGAGTTATCAGAGTTCGACAAAACGGTGCTCGACTGTACATGCATTTATAAATCATAGCAAGTCACAATTATGATGTGCTCTGTGCACTAGTGAGGTCAGTCCTACTGATGTCAGTGCAGGACCTATACCCCACAACAGTCTTGTCAAACAGACAGAGCAGTTGTACTGTGACAGCTTTGTGAACCAAGCCCAGGTATCCAATGCGAAAATGATTTTTGTGCTATGACTATTGTAAGCCTGTGTTAAGTGTAGGAGCTCCATTAGAAACAACAAAGTGTGCACTTTGTGATGTGATATGAGTCTGAGGTCATGGTATCTAATATTATTGTGCTGCTTTGTTGATTCCTTAAAACCACAGGAGTAGTGTTCAGTGTTCAGTCACTAATCGTTTATTTGAGTGTGTAGCCAAATATGTATCCCTACCAAAAGTACCCTAATCTTGATTATCAGCAGGGTCATATTTCTAAGCCGATTTTTACACTGCATAAAGATTTCTTACTTCAGTTCAGAAAATGTCTCTTATAATCTTGTCAACATGAGGCAGCATGAGTTGAACTTGATCTGCTGTTCAGAATGTATGTGAGTGAATCATTTTGAGCTTCATGTGTGACTTCTGTATCTAAAAACGAAAGTAAACAGGCAGTTCTGAATGTAGAATAATTCTTTCTTAGTTATTTTCTAGACATCCTCCAACTTTCCATGTTTTCATGACACAAACATTTTGTAGGTGCTAATTATAAACAACAGGAGACCTCTCCACCACAACCCAAACAGCAGCAACAGGAACACCAACAGCAGCAACAACACCACCACCAACACCAACAGAAGGGGCAAGACAATTGGCAGCAACAAGGTCAGGGACAAAGACCACATCAACAGCAAGGTCAAAGGAAACTGGCGCTCCCAGTTCTCTTGTTTGGTTTGGCGCTTCCTCACAGTGTTCCTGGTTCGGCGCTTCCTCCCAGTGTTCCTGGTTCGGCACTTCCTCCCGGTTCGGCGCTTCTCCCAGTGTTCCTGGTTTGGCGCTTACGCCTGGTTCAGCGCTTCCTCCCAGTGTTCCTGGTTCGGTGCTTGCTCCCGGTTCGGCGCTTCCTCCTGGTGTTCCTGGTTCGGCGCTTGCTCCCGGTTCGGCTCTTCCTCCCGGTGTTCCTGGTTCGGCGCTTGCTCCCGGTTCGGCGCTTCCTCCCGGTGTTCCTGGTTCGGCGCTTGCTCCCGGTGTTTCTGGTGCGGCGCTTCTCCCAGTGTTCCCAGTTCGACGCTTCTCCCAGTGTTCCTGGTTCGGCGCTTGCTCCCGGTTCGGCGCTTCCTCCCGGTGTTCCTGGTTAGGCGCTTGCTCCCGGTTCGGCGCTTCCTCCCAGTGTTCCTTGTTAGGCGCTTGCTCCCCGTTCGGCGCTTCCTCCCGGTGTTCCTGGTAAGGCGCTTCCTCCCAGTGTTACTGTCTTGGTGCTTCCTCCTGGCGCTCCCAGTTCGGCATTTCCTCCTGGACTGGTTCGGCGCTTACTCATATTGACTTTGGTTCAGCGATTGCTCTGGGTGTTCACGGTTTGGCGCTTCATCATGGTGCTTTCAGTTTAGCGCTCACTCACAGTCTTCCTGGTTCAGCGCTTACCTACAGTATTATCGGTTCAACGCTTACTCCTGGGGTTCCTGGTTCGACGCTCACTCATGGTGCTCCAGGTTCAGCGCTTACTCACGGTGTTCCCGGTTCGGTGCTGCCTCATAGTTCACTGGCTTCTGTATTGACTCATGGTACAACGCTTCCTCGGGTTTCAGCGCTTACTGCCATGTGTCAACTTTGGCGCTAGATCCACTCAGTTCAGCTCTGGAGTTCAATGCACGGGATCCTACGTCTAGGCTTTCTGTTTAGTTCCCAACAACGTGATATTATCATCCACTGGAAGGGAGCTTAATCTTCCTCAACTTACCAAAAACCTTATCCAGAGACGCTACCAATTGAGTGATACACGGTCGAGGTGGGAATGTGATGTAACCAAAATTACCTGGATTCATATCAAATGGATAATAAATCCCCCGACGAAGTACTACAAAGCTTATCGGCAATCCTGACGAGTAGTTAAGGTGTGAACAACATCCATGATACCATCCGATTGGGACGTACCATCCAAAGATAGAGACGACGTTGTTGAAAGATGAACCTCCTCTAAAGGTAGAACTGGAGTAGTCGCAGGTCTGGATGACTGATTAACAGAGGAGGATACTGGCGCCTCATGCCATATACTGACGCTACTGCTAACACAAGGCATCAAAGTCAACAGGCTGACTAGTCGCCCCTTCAGACACCAGATTCCAGGATACTGGTAAAAGAGGTCTCGACATTGATACTGTTGAATATAGGACAGATGAACCGGAGTAGACCTTGAGAAATGACAAGGCACCTCACGCATAGAACGAACACCCAGCCAACTGAGACACGACCCCTTGAGGCAACAATGAATTCGGCTGTTCCTGGTCGAGGATCGCCAGCGCCAGATTTAGATGGTGCCATAAGGAGAAGTATGGCTCAACTCAACATGATGTTGAAAACTACCAGAGTGGTGGTGATGTCGGGTGCACTCGCTGTGTCCCATCAGCAAGCGTACATTCGGGCGGCTATGGTTCTATTGCAAGAACAATTTCAAACCATTTGGTATGATTTGGTGATCAGGATCGGTTCTATGCTTCTAAGTTGGTTCGGCGATCTGGATCGGATCGACGGCAGTGTGATCTAAAAGCTGAGTCAATCGAGACCAAAGTACTTCGCCTATATAGTTGTCCATACAATAATGATGTACTCGACTAATCTGTTCCAATCAAACAACAATTCAATAGGTTGAATCATTGTTCCAATCGAAACGACACTGGTCTGAAGCGTTCATCTAATCGAAAGGGCGCACTGGGCTGTAGTGCTCATCCAATCAAATGTGGCGTATCGGTCTAATGAGTTTGACCGAACGAGAGCGGTGAACTGAAGTGAGACAATGCACTGGTTTCTTCTTCCCTTTGTGAGAGCAACGATTGGTACAAAGTGGTGAATGGACAGCAAGGTACTCTCTGAAGTACCGAACAGAATGCGTGGATTAGCAAGTAATTCATGATGACAGTAGCTAGGCGCATGGAGATACCAGATGATTCGGCGAATGTTGACAGCTCAACAAACACGGAGCGGCGAACTGGTACTGCGTTTAACAGTACTTCAGCCAGTTTATTGTATCAGTTGGAAACTGTCAGCAACTGTCGGAATAATGCTCGGTAAATTGGAGTAGGCTCCCTTGAATGTTGTCACAACAAGCTGGTTACACTTCCTGTCGCCGCCTGATTTATGTGTGGATTACGGGAGGATTTGAGGATGTTTTTACGCAGTTAGCATGAGTTGAGAAGGTAAGTTCATTAATGTTTTGCTATTTATTTAACAAAAATTCATATGAATGTAACGTAACGTTATGGCGAAGAACAGTGATTTTATCAATTGGGAAGATTTGGAGTTAGTAGACTTTTGGGGCGATTTCAGGAGCAGCCACAGTTCATCAGACAACAAGGATGTTGAAGACATGGTTGCAGAAGTCGCGGCTATGACAAAGCATACCTGTGACAGTGAGCAGACCGGCCCATTGTTCAAGTGTCCGTTATGTGTCTAGACCTAAAAGTCTCAGTCAGGTTTCAGAAGTCATGTACTGAAGAAGCATAACAGAAAGGATTTGAAAGGTAAATTTACTTACAATTTAATAAACAGACACAACAAGACGAAGCATGAAAGGCAAATAACCTGAATCCTTTTATTTTAGCAAATGAAAACAAGTCATGTGAGAATATAGATAAGACCTCTAGTAATAATCTTGTCTTCATAAACATACATATGAATATATGATATTACAAATATGGACTACAAAATGTAAACAACTGTCCTTTGTGAATACTTTACATTATTTTGGTCTGAAGAAATTGTCTTATAGTATTAAACAGACAGTCAGCAAGTTGGTTTTCTAAGTGGAGATATGTACAGAAATATGTACACTATGTAGGTATCTGGATAGAAAAATATAGGTTGATAATTGCATAGGTACCGGTATTCTTGGTAACCATGAGTACAAGTAGGATTTCACTGCAGGTGGTCTGTGTACAATACAATATAATAGGTAATAGATAACACCAAATAACATGGCAACATATAATTGTTTCTGATTTTATTCAGACAAACTGACATACTTGTAGCCAGGATGTACTCAGAATTGGATAGTTTTTGGAAGGTAACTAAACAATGTATAAATAACTATAACTTAAATGCAGTAAAATCTATTATGAATTCTTAGTTTTCTATTTAAAAATCAAGCAAGCAGGTTTCCTTAAGGACTGGTAGATTTTTCAAAGTAATAAGTCCTATGGTCTGACATTTTGTTTTAAACACTGGGTATTGTTTCAAAGTCACTTTGTCCTTTTTTGGGGGGCAATGGTTGTTGGTTTACTGTCCCAGCAGAGCGGCGTTTATTGCCCCGAACCATTGCAATAGCTTGAGATCCCACAGTTCTCATAGTGCACAAAGTATTACGCACTTGATACACCGAGGGATTGTCATTTGATCCACCCTTTTGTCTATAGTGCGTGAAATGTTCTTCCAGGGGATCTTGGTTAAACCTATGTGTCAGTATAAAATCTGCCTCTTCGTTGAGCATGAACCTCACACATTCCACCGCTGTGATATTGCTGGAATATTGCTAAAAGCGGCGTAAAATCAAACTCACTCACTCACACATTCCACTATAGATCATACTGATATTTGGAGTCCCTCTAAAGTTTGATGACTAAGCATCATAGATGATCTTTGTCCCTTTGTAAAGTCTCCAGGACGATTGGTCACACTTACTCTCCATGAATCAAAGTACCGGTACCCAAGAAAGTCATTCATAAGATAAGTGAGGCGGTCATCATCTGCTTCACAATATATATCACGATCCCTATTTCTTGTTTTTCTGCCTTCAGATAGACTTCTGACATTCAAGCAGTCAAAGAACTTATTCATATGACGTATGAATTTCACCGTTTCTATCACTTGATCGCCATATAATTCTTCCAAAGCATCCGCAAAAGTTTTACCCAAAACGTCCAAGTTTACTTTCATCTGTGAGAATGCTGTTAAGTCCACATGAGCTCTGGTCAGCCTGTATAAATTGGTTTCACAGTAGTCTTCAAATAGGTTCACTATATGCATCCATGAAATGTTCTTTCCATCCTTCCACAATTTTCTGGATAGTTTGTGGCTACTTGAATTTGCGAAACAGTTGCGTGTAGTTTTCATTAAATGTGGAACATCAGATATAAAAAATAATTTACGCCTAGGAGTTGCATATGTATTCCATGTGAAGTAAGTTAGTAGTTGCGAATTTTCTTCTTTGTGCATGCCAAAGAATTTCCGATTAGGAGAGGCACCATCACATGTTACAAACAGTACTTTAAGTCCACAATCAATTTCCAAAGTTTTCACACAGTTCCAAATCATATTGTACAGTAAATCTGCTGTCACAACAAGGGTTGTAAAAGCTGCGAATGGATATTTCAAACTTGTTGTAATTCCACGCACCATTACCACAAGCATAGAGGTTGCAAGTTTTCTTGTTTCATTTGTGAAGACATTTTCCAAGTCAATTAGGCTATTTGATGTTTTGTCAAAGTCGGTATAGCCAATAAGTTCATCTGAAGCACTGTCATAAACAAGACCTTCTTTGACCTTGATCTCATCTTGTAATAGACCAACAAATGCTGTATGTGAATTACACTTTATGTTGTAACCTATGTCCAAGTTGATTTGGTAGCACATGAGAGTAATCAAAGAGAGTTCTATTTGACGGAAGGGCTTCATATGTGTTCCGACTTGTTTGTTGTAAATACAGGCTCCATTTTACAATCATGGGATGCCAACTCATGCCCCTCTTATCCCTGTTGATTGTATTTCAGCTGTTCATCCCAAAACAGGCGATGGAGAGAGTTTTCATCAGGGTAATTCTGGTGAACTTCTTTTGTGTGGCTTTCAACTAGTTGTACAAGTTCATTACTGGTGGATTCATTGAATATTATAGCTAGAATACATGGAATTATCATGAAACGCCCTCCCATTATCAGAAATTTGCGGTCCGCTGCAAATGATATTGGACCGCTCAACCTTAACGACGGGCCACTATCAGTTCTGTTGTCAAGTGACGTCATAGTGGGTGCGTGGGCAGACAATGCCGAACGCTGACAATACAAGATGGCGTCTGATTGTGTTGGTACGGCAGTTCGGCTCGGGAGATTGAACGAGCGCTTCGTGAACCAACCGATTCTCTTTGGGTCGAAAAATCGGATATCAATGAAACTGACAGCGCATTTAGATGAAGACTAACTTGATAAACTCCAAATGGAAGGAAAATCAGCAAATACTCAAAAACAAACTTGCTGGGGAACCAAGGCATTCACTGGTGAGCTTTGACGCTAGGCCTAATTATGTAGCAATTTTGATATGATAAATAATGAGCCAGAAACTAAAACTGTCACGATTTTGTCTCACAAATTTTATTTTTTGTTGTTTTTTAGACTGGGCATCTCGACGTAATATCAACATTGATCTAAAATCAGTCGAAACAGAAGACGTGGCCAAAATATTAAGAAAATTCTATGCTGAGTACCGCACTAAGAAAGCTGAGCTTCCCACCCCTAGCACACTGAGATCACTGAGAGCTGCAGTTCATCATACTCTAAAAGATCCACCTTTCTCACCAAGCAACATAAACATAATGGCTGATAAAGAGTTTACAAACGCCAAACAGCATGTTCAATCTCGTTGTAAAGCCTACTTTGTAGAGGGAGGAAGATCCCTACAACACAAACCTTGCATTGAGCGAGGAGATATGGACAAACTGTCAGGATATTTTGGGGATTTAGAGAGTACTGACCCAACCAGGCTTCAAGAAATGGTTTGGTTCAATCTGTGTTTCTTTCTGGGAAGACAGGGGCGTGAAGGTTGGAGAAGTTTCACCAAATCGACACTTCAACTGAAGCGTGACGATAATGACAACACTTTCTTACCTTCACTTTGGCTGAGCAAACAAAGAACTGGCAAGGCAGTAATCCCTCTAATCAGGACTGTTCAGATGTCAGAATATACGAGAATGAGTCATCCAAAGATCCAGTCAGTATTTATCTCTTTTATCTGTCAAAACTCCACCCCGACTGCGATGCTCTTTTCCAGGCTCCTCGGAAGGATTTCTCAGAAATCAGGAGTTTGGTACAATAATGCTCCTTTGGGAAAGAACATATTGGGCACCATTATGCAGAAGATTTCCAAAAGGCTGGTTTATCACAGGTATACACTTGTCATTCAGTCAGAGCTTCCACCATCACATACCTGTTTCAGGCAGGTGTAGACGTGAAAACAAATCTGCAACATCACGGAAGCACAAGTCCGAGGAATCACTCAAGCATTACATTTCAGGGTCCAGTAGCGCGCAAAAGAGAGCATCTAGTGAAATCCTCCAGCACATGTTGTCACCCAAGATGCCAGCAAACGCTTTAGAATATCCCAATAGGCCAACCTGCTCACGCGGAAACGCCCGCATTTTCTGTTCAAGAAAATGTTGAAATGACTTACGGTTCATTCGACATTGGCTTTGACTGGCAGATGTTCTGGGGCAAACAAGTCAAAGCAACCCGAATTCCCGCTTCAGCGGTAATATTGGCCTTCTTGCTGGTGCTAACCTTAACAATTGCACTATTAACGTTGTTGTTGGACCAAAACCGTACACTGAAAACTGACGTTGTTGCTGACATAATGGCGGCCATAGTTTGACATGCTGCAGGCCAAGGTCTTGGCAAAGGCCAAGGTCGAATATTGTCACGCTTCTGTTGTGACGCCACTTGAATTGTTCGATGACGAATTGCATTGCGGGTAAGTCAACCCACTTAGAAGTTGGTTTTGAGTAAACTTACAGTCAAATTCCTTCCTTGTTTCCTTTTTCTTTTCAACACAAATTCCATGTATTTTTAGTTAATAATAAGGGTAATGTTATTTTGAGGGCATTATCATTTGCAGAAGCCCGAGGTCTCCTTCGTCGGGCAGTTAATGGAAGACCTCGGGCTTCTGCAAATGATAATGTCCTCAAAAATAGCATTACCCTTATATTTGTCTATTTGCAGCAATCTGTTTTTGGATTTTCCTTCTCAGTTTGGTATTGTCCTTCACCAAAGCTTCATTGGTTCTCTTCAAATGTGCTATTTTTTCCACTAACTGAGTCCTTGACATTGTTTCATGGGGACGATTCCACTTCACAGCATTCTCTGGACAACTTGAGGGTGAATGTTCATTTCCATATATACACCTGGAACTTAATTAAGCACCCCCCCTATTTTCTGGATGATGAGAAACAAAACTTGCCGTAACTCTTTCACTATTCCAAAGATAGTGGAACCTTAGCTATTGTGAAACATACGATCTATTGGCAAATGAACAACAACACAATGATTCCAATTCGTGTTGTTTTAATAGCGTAACCAATGTAATTTGGTCACTATTGATTTCTGATGAAAATAGTCACTGAACAAGTATGGTCGTAGCATTGTCAATGGCTGACTATTACAAGAAATGATGCACAAGGAATGTCACTTGTTAACATCTGATGGGTCTGGCATCAGTATCGGGTGTATCCCCCACGTGCTTGGATGACAGCTTGAATCCTCCTCCTCATGCTACTGGTAAACCTTCTGATACGATCAAGTGGCAATTGCCGCCATTCTTCAAGCAAAGCAGCTTCCAGCTGTGCAAGATTCTGGAGAGGGGGTTCTCTCAACCTCACACGGCGTCCAAGAAAGTCCCAGATGTGCTCCAAAGGATTCAAATCGGGGCTCATTGCTGGCCAAAATAATGTCACGATAGCCTCATTCTGGAGATGTGCGGTCACAGCACGTGAACAAGGCGGCCTGGTGTTGTCGTCCATGAATATCGGGTGAGTAGCCAACGGGTGGTTGTCAAAATGAGGCACCACAACTGGATGGAGAATATCCCGGATGTACTGCTGACCATTAAGATTTCCTCGGACAGTCAACATTTGAAGTTTACAGTCGTGTGAAAGACAACCCCAGATCATAACCGATCCTCCACCAGTAGGGTGGATATTCCTGGGCACGTAAGCAGTGTTTTTATGCCTCCACATTCTCATTCGACCATCTGTAACGTGGAGGAGGATCCTGCTCTCATCTGACCAGTGGACACTCCTCCATGTCCTCAGGTTCCACTGCCGACGGGCCATACACCACTCCAGACGTCGTCTCTTATGGAGATCAGACAGAGCAGGACGTTTGATGACTCTTCTGGACCTCATACCAAGTGCCCTAAGGCGATTTCTGACGGTTCTGGTGGATAATTGTCTGTAGGGTAACCACAGGTGCTTCAAAACCGAACTTGTGGCAAAGGGTTCTCGCCTTACCAGACGTGCCAGGCTGCGATCATCACGGGCCGTTGTCTTCCTGGGTTGTCCAGGCTTTGGACGATCTCTCACATCTCCAGTCATCTGATGTTTTCGGACAAGTCAGCTGATGACCGAGTGACTGTAGCCCAGTTGTTGTCCAATAGCTTTGAAGGACATGCCTGTTGCATGCATGCCGACAATTTGCCACCTTAGTGCTTCAAAAAGTCTTCTCCTCGCCATTTCAGTATTCATTAATGGAGACAGTTACAAATATGTCTGCTTTTATACCCATAAATTGCATGTCAGAGAAACTGAATTTGGGGAAAAGTGTGGGTTGTATGCTTCACGTACACAAGGGATGCGTTGTGACGAGTGCACAGGAACCGAAACACCGTTTTAGACTACTAGAGATGTGTTGTAATACAGAGATATCATTCATGTTTAACGATGGTTCACAGTTGCTCTACTATCATGAAATATATCAGGGGGTGCTTAATTAATTTCCAGGTGTATATATCTTCTTGCATAGAGATCCTCGGTATACAACACACGGTTGGCATCGTTCTGAGTTTCTGACGAGAAAGGAACATTTTGTGCTTCGAATTGTTGCTGAATAATGAGTTGAAACACAGTTATCTTCTCTGAATGCAGAGGTTGTGGACTAACATTGCCACTGGTAATCACTGCCCCAGGTGGAATAAGGTCAACATAGTTATTTTCCCAGTTACCGCAACAAACATTGAAACTGTCACTTTCTTAATGTCAGCTGCTCCATGAGCAATGAGGGATTCCTAGCCAGAAGTCATGGCCAGATGGTATGATGTTACGATGCACAGAAATAGATATAGCACAGTTTGAATTAACAGACACAGTCCATTTCACTGCAGGTATCTCTGATGGATAAAGTTGAAATAGTTTCATAGACCCTTGTGTGTTGATGATGAGTAGTTCTGAAAGATACTGTAACTGTCATTTACACTCTTCCTTAAAGCCGCAAACTTTTGTTGGGGACGCTCACTTGAGAAAGTCTTGTGACAAACCTGTCTACATCTTCATCGGGATGATACAAATATGGCCTGTCTAATATGACATAGAACTCATTGGCAGTAGCTCCATCTGAATCTGTAAGCTCTGACTCTTGCTCATCTTGAGATTGGCTGTGTGTATCGAAGAATCTCAGCATTGCTGTCGACCAGTCCTGATGACCTTGATAATCTCTGGACCTGCAAGAAACCAGTTTATCATTATTTTAGTTAATCAGTATGACTTATTTACTTCCCTCTGAACCTAAAAAATTCTTTAAAACAAGGTATTAATTTGGTGTTGCCTTAAAGGCACATCGGCATACCCAAAAAATTAATAATTCATTTCTTGCAATAATACAATCTTATCAGCATTTAGGACAGCTCCCATATAATTTATTCTGAAAATATGTACATATTTAATGTATAATCATTAATCGAAAAGTGCGAATGAATTAATGCAACGTTGCATTAAATAACGCACAAACAAGGATATCGTCAATGTCTTAAACTTGGCTGTACAATCTAGAAACCCCGAAACAGCAGCACCGATGACTTTTGCAATGACACTTACCACTTTTACAAATCATCTTTACTTAAAAATGGACGATTTCTTCATATGTTAGCAGTGAAGTACTTCAGTAAATAAACAACACCTGCAGTAATTCCTACTTCAGACGATTTTACTTTATCCATTTTGTGCATGAGCTAGTGTGGCAATGTGCCGTAGTTTGTGATATGACTGTTGACAAAACAATGTCCCAAAATTTTCAAAATGGCAGTCGATGTGCCTTATTCCTTAAATCAAAGCCTAAGTACTTACTCTGGATCAAAACTTTGATGTAGACAGTAGTTGTATTCATTATGAGTTGCCCAAGAAGCTATCAGCTTCTTATTTTTTTCTCGCTTTGGTTTTCGACCAATCTTCTTTCTGACTTTCCGTGGCATCTATAAGCAGAAACAGACTGATATATTTTTCATTTTTGTAATGTTAATTGACATAACATCTTTCATGCAATATATAGCAAACAGAATATTGACAACATAATAAACATTTGATAAAACAGTAGGTACAAGTGTATAAACAGTATAGTTTATTGTTGAATGTCGATTCTGAATTCATATTGCTTTTTGAATTCATTCAGTGCCCTGCTGCTGCTGCTGATGATGATTTAATAATGTACATAATTTTATTTTTACAGCAGCAGATCATCTACAGCTGACAGTAGACCATGGTGTCTTGCCGAAAGGAGACACAACAAAGCAGCAAACAAGTTGGTTGCCAGATGATCTCGAACAAATTCTTAGAGAAGCGACCTCAGTCACCCTTACCGAGATGGAAAACAGCCTGTACCACACAATGCAAGAATCGGCCCATGGACATCATATTGTTTTCCTTGCAAAACAAATTAGTGGTCACTCAAGTGGGGTACTCACAGAGCCACTGTCAACCCATCTTAAAGAAATATTCAGGGACTTTGGCAAATCCTGATTCAACAGTTCTGAACGTGAGGCATTCTTCAAACAATTACACAAACTGAAAATGAACTTTGATGTGCTAGATTCTGTTGAAGGCGACATTTGTGACAGCATTGACCTTGGAAGTAGTGAGACTTTTGTTCCTGTTGTCATTACGAGTTTTATTGATGGTGTTGTCAGTGCTACGATGAGGCTGCTTTTACAGAGATGTGAGGAAGACCAAGAAAAGCAGAATTTTGAACTGAGCAAACAAGATCAGAGTGTACTGCATTTGATTGCAGGATTTTTTATCTCTTCTGTCAAGAAAAGTGCTCAACAGGACAAGGAGAAGTTGTCAGCAATAAGCAAGTTAGTGGAGCCATCAGATTCCAAGAAGGAAAACTTTCTCATCGATGTAAGGAAGTGGTCACATAAAATTGACAGAGGTGGTCTCCAGCAACCTCGACTCTTTCTTTCTCATTGTCAGACTATTTGAGACAGAAGCTAGGAAGGCTCCACCAGTGGTTAAAACTGGCAAAATGGGAAACCAGTCCTTAAGAGAGGCCGTTCTAACCAATGTTTTGGTGATTAAGTATTGGAACTCTCTTGTCGGAGACTCGCACAACAGTAAGTCAACTCTTGGAAGAGATCGTCCAAAGGTTTCTGAAAGTAAGGTCACATGCAATGGCGAGATAACTGGAGAGAGAGGCGAGTAGAGCTTTGAAAGCTAAGAGAGCGCGCCAAGGAAGAAGTCAAGATCTCTTTGTGGTTCCCTCAAGGACTAAAACATTTCTTAAGACACTGCTTTGTTCAGTGACTTTCTGTTTATGTGACTATTCAGCTTGATCATCAAGTCTTTATTTTGCACTTAAGAGGCCACAGGCCTCTAGTACATGTATACTGACTATATTGTTATTAGGCAGTAGAGAGTACATTTCTCCTGTGTAAAAAGGCATGGTATAGGAACACTTTTCCAGGAACTTTTTCAGGTGTTCCTTGCTAGGGTAGGTTAACAGAGATATAAATTTATAAATATTGTGATGTACTAAGTAATATTTCTTAATATACTTATTTCTTAAATTGTGGTAGGCTGGACAAACATGAAAATCATAATCATCTTCAATTAGATTCAAGTCACACATTTCACAGATCTAAACCTCCTTTTTTTATTCCAATATATCTAGTAGTAACTTTCACACCAAGGAATCTTTTTATTGCATATAAATGTACTTTTTCTAGTGTTTCAATGTTTGTAGTCCCCAAACCTTAGAACCATATGGAAGTATGGGACTATTCAGCTATTATGATATATGTTTGAAATGATATGTTACACAATTAAAATGTCTCACTGTGTTTCAATGCCTTTCTGTTTGTGTTGCATGCTTATGAGTTCCCCTTGCCTTTTTCTCTCAATCTAAATTATCTTCCAAATTTCACAATGTATGAATGAATGAATGAATTATAGGAAGAATTATATGTGAATGAATGAAAGAATAACTGATACACCATTTTAAAGAACACAAAACTATCGCTAGAACATGTGTTAACATCAGCTGTCCCTTTTTTTAAAAAAATCTTCTTTGAGACATTTTTACATTAGTAATTAATTCAGATATCCAGATATCTTCCTGCATGTGTGGTATGGCATGGATATTGACAGAATGTTAACTGACACTGTCACACACCCGTCAAATACAGAAAGATTAAAACTATCACAAAGCGTTGTAAAGACCTTTCCAGTTTTCATATACTAAGATAAACCAGAAAGAAACAATTTGTAGAACTATAACACTCAAGCATCACAGGCATCCATGGCAGGTCAGAACAGATCAGCGATATGTCACATTTTTCACACACCTCAAATACACCCTAACAATTTTTTTATAATGACGAAACTATCACTGTTACTTGCAAACACCTTTCACCTAATGGTATATTAGTCTCCCTGCTAGGACGCTTCGCCAATGACAGGAGCTCCTGGGCCTTTTGACGTCTGTTCAGGCAATGACCCTCAGGCGTCAACTACAACTTCGTCCCTTACACCTTTTTGTGGCAACTTATATCACAGTGGGAGATCCCGGTGCTCTGATCCCTCTACCTCTGCAGCTCCATCCTCATCTTCAGTAGTGGATGGAAGAATTGAACGTTTGCGACAGAGTCTGTTTAGAGACGTTTGTTCCGTCTCATCACCTGTATGTGGATGTGTCTCAATACGAGTGGGGAGCTCATCTTCTCAATCAACAAGTGGCAGGGCTTGGTCTATCATAGATCGCGCCTGTCACATCAACACTCTGGAGTTCAGGGCGGTGATTTTGGCAATCAGTCACTGGCAGGATGTCCTACGAGCAACTTCCCTCATGGTCAGATCGGACAACGCAGCAGTGGTTCGGCATATCAAGAGAATGGGGTCAACGGGGTTTCCACAGCTTCTACAGTGGACTCAACAGTTCTTGGATCTGGTGGACTTTCTCAATATCATGGTACAAGCCAACCACATTCCGGGGGTGAAGAATGTCATTGCAGATGCCCTGTCCCGACCGAGTCGTCCTTCTCCAACGGAATGGAAATTACATCCTCAGGTGTTTCAGACCTTCTGCCTTCCAATGACTTCTCCAACAGTAGACCTCTTCGCCACGAGGTTCAACCATCAGCTGCTTTGGTTTGTCTCACCGATATCGGGCCTTTTGGCTTGGGACCTCGAAGCTCTAGCCATCCCGTGGGAAGACCTGAATGCTTACGCGTTTCCGCCAGTGGCCCTTCTTCCTCACATTCTAGTGAACTGTGCGCAACACGGAGGATGACTCTACTTTGGTCACGCCCTACTGACCGTCCAGAAGTTGGTTCGTAAATCATCAAGACCTAGCCGAACCAGATCCCGTACCGCTTCCCGATTGACCTGATCTACTGGTTCACCCTCACTCCCACTAACTACATTGGTCCCTGTTGACGCTCCAACTGCACGTTTGGCGCATCTACATCAATCCTTAATGGCTAAAGGTTATTCGAAGCGGGTTGCTACTGCCATTACAACAGCGCATCGTAGTTCTACAAGGTCACTCTACGAGGACAAGTGGGAAAGTTTTAAGCATACTCCAGGAAGAAGGGCATCTCATCTCCCACAACGGCATCCCCAGAGGTTCTACACTGTCTACCTACCTGGCTGCTCTTAACATGGTTATTGCAACGGCCTCGGGTGTAAAGATTTCCACTGTCCATGAACTAAGGTCTTTCAAATTGGCTGACCAATCCTGGAAGTTCCGGCCTCCAGCTTGGGATATCTCCGTTGTACTTGCTCATCTCACGTCAGCTGAATATGAACCTCTGGAGGAGAAGATTTCGAACATGTCTCCTTTAAGACCTTTTCTCTTGGCCTTGGCTGCAGCTGCCCGTATCTCCGAGTTGCATGCTTTTGATGTTTCTCGGGTACAGTTTGGAAGGTCTAGACATGCCAGAGTTTCCCTTGGTTTGCGGTGGGATTTCCTTGCCAAGAATCAGTTACCAGGACAGCCGGATCACACATTCACGATCCCACTGTTGTCCACTATCATGGGCCCATATGACACTGAAGATCTTTCCTTATGCCTGGTTTGAGCATTACGGATTTACCTAGCTGCCTCTAAGGACCACTGCAGGTTGCTCAAGAGACTATTTATCCTGTTATCCACTGTCTCCGCCTCGGAGGTCTCCCGTACTACCTTGGTGTTTTGGATGAGATCTACAATCCTGTGTGCATATGACTATGCGGACCTTCTTCCAGCTATGATGGCGAACCCTCAGGAGACCCGGGCTTTGGCTTTCACCATGGCACTTCATAGGAATGTTCCCTCCAGTCCATCATGAAGGGTTGTTTTTGGAAGTCGGATAACGTCTTTGCCTTGCACTACCTTCCTCGGAATTCCTCGGTTCAGGTCAGCATCAGGTCAGAATTCCCAGGTGAGCATCAGTTTGGTCCTTTGGTCCTGGCGCAGCAGTTGTCATCAACCCGTGTTCGCAGATAAAGCAATCCTTTATTGATTGGTTTGCTATGTACCTAATAGAAGATATCGATGTAATCCATATCTTGGTACTTTTTTCTCTTGGGCTTAGATCATTCTCACCTGTGGGAATAGGGCGTGTCAGCACTGTCATAAGTTATGACTTGATAGACTGTGAGGCAAGTCTTGTGCAACATGCAGAGATGGTCGACATTCCGCTTACTGACCTCAACTCTTTGAGCAATGATGTCAGTGAAGTGTTGATTTCCGATTACCTGTGTGGTTTTCAAAGTCCTTTCTCACCTTTGGTAAGTTAGGGAGATTGGTACTGAATGTTAAACTAGTTGAGCAACCTGGCTATTCCCTCTTTCACCGCCGTCCAGCGTGTGTCTGTGGGGGGTAGTTTCGAAGCAGGGACTGGCCAGATTAAGGTCCTCGACTTTAATTCACTGGGGTCACCTGATAAATAGTGGGGCGGCGGGGCCTACTTGCCAAACTGCGTCCTTTTGCTTGTCAAAAGTTGCGGCTGAAAACCACATTATTTCGGGAACGCCCACTCCCTAGAGTTTTTGTGCTGTGTAAGCCAAGAGGTTACCTGAAGAAACCCATCTCAAGTTTGGAGTTTGCATATCGGGAGTTGGTGCTTTCTCCTGGCCTCCTTGGGTTATGCGTTTTTCCCGGTGGTAGTAGTAACCGGGGTAATCTGCGGCCCGCCTACCAACCGTGGGATTATGCATACCGTGAGATAGGATAAGTTTAAAAATTTGAAAATGTTATAATAAATTGTATATATATATATACTTATCCTATCTCACGCGATAGGACCCATCCGACCTGCCCCACATCACAGATTACTGGAAGCTCCAAGACGAGAATGACAGGTAGAGGTGGTCATGTGATCGTTTGGGCGAGCCGCATGCTTTGGTGGATGATTGACAGGCGTTGATGTCGGGGTGAGGGCAGAGGTCAGGGTGGGTCAGAGGCCAGTTGGATTTAACTCAACTTAGCTGACAGCACGTTTCCACACATGGTCGTAGAAGAGAGAGATGGTGCATACCGTGAGATAAATATACAATTTATTATAAAATTTTCAATATTTTATAATTGTCCATGAAAAGATCAACATTATTTATTCTCAGAGTTTAAAATGTTCTAATTTCCCATCTTTGTGCATGAAAAATAATCATTTATAATTCTCATAACATGAAAAAACATGATACAATTGCAAAATGTGAACGATACATATCAAAACATATTTAAACCGATACTTTCAAAACTAAATATCGATACAGTTTTGAATGTATCGATAATTGTACCGTCTTAGAAAAAGTATCGATGTAACATGGCACCCCTAACCTTAACAATGTTCTGGCCTACCTTTAGAATTCAGCATCACAAACTTGCAATACCCTGTGAAGTAATGCCTCATGAATCTTTGCAATTTTTTAAGCCTTCTCAATATTAGTACAGTATATCTTGAATGGTAGTGTGCCGATCAGTACTGTGTGCAGCAATACATGTCTGAGGTATTATCTCAATACATGATCTTTTGAAATGTAACAATTGAAAATGGCCAGTAAGAGAGTATTTGATAGACATGGAATAGTGTTATATACAGATAGTCTGTCTTTGATGACATGTATGAAAAATTTAAAGAAAAACTGTATTTACTCTGCTTTTCTATTGACTTTTGCACTTGAATGATGCCCAGACATTAGCAATTCAAAAATTAATCCCTGCAATAATCATGTCTTTTATAGAGATATCATTTTCACTTTTAGGTTACTATCTACTCATGTCTTACCACAGTTTCATAGAGAGCTGATGCGTGTCGTGTTTCGTAGTGCACACAATTATGACCAGACCCATGAAGAGAAAATATTGGCTTCTCTCAATACAGAGTATACAAATTAACATAATGCCTACATTTTGTTGTTTTTCTGTAGTCAATAATTCAATCTTCCATTGGATAATCAGGTGTATAAAAGTTCTGACACCATTCTGTTCATGTCACAGGGGTGGCTGGGGTAGGGGATGGGTGGGTTCTCAGTTAAATTTGTTTTACATAATTGTATCAGGTGTTTACTTTTAAATGGGTTGTTATCAAATGATTCATGTAATTGTTTATATATTTGCATCAATGTTTTGGTCTCCTTCATACACAGTAAATTCAGCAAATGAGAACTGAAGACACCTGTATTCCATGTCAGCAGATACATTTTCTTCCTTTACTTTTTCAGGATTCAGATGTAGTATCTGTGAGAAGGTACTAAAATGTAAAGGTGATGCACTGGAAGTCAAAAGGTACCGCCAGTTTTTAGTAGTTTCTTTCTAGATATCAAGATGTGTTTATGATGAACAGGATGTATTGTGTTGACCATCGGG